ATAGGGTACAAGTACACATGGTATTGACTAGTGTTTATATCAGTGGTACCAGCAGCCACCAACCTGGCGTTGGCGAAGACTCGCTCGCTAGAGTGAAAGGTCACCAACACTAGAGCTCAACTTGGCACGTGTCTTACAACCTTCATTCACACGAGCACGTGGACATGGTGACACGTGCCACACCGATTATGACATGGACGCTGGGAAGGTTTGGTGGGGGATGATAGGGAGGGGAACCTTCGGGGGGAATAAGGAGGGGGGAAATGATGCGAAGATGCATTTTGGGGAAGAGTGGAGGATGGTGGTACAGCAGGACGCTGTAACTGGTGCTAACATTAGCATAATTGTGTGGTAGGTGTAATCGTACAAATGTAATGCTGTATGACATATAAAAGCATGGGAGGTGTAGTTGTGAGGGTGTGGGAGCGTACACGTGGTGGGAACTGGCAGACTAATACACTTGGTGTGTACACACCTTGCCACTCCCATGTCTTCCCTCCTAGCAACACTTCCCCGCTGCCCGCATTGCAGACAGAGGCGCGCCTCCCTCTTCCTGTACCGGATGTAATCTTTGTACCTTCTTGTTTCAATGTGGTTTTTGTCCGCACACTTTGATCAGTGATAGTTGTTGCATTATATATAATGTGTATATATATACTCTGCCGGGTTGGAGTAAACGGGAAGGTCAGAGTTGGCTGGCTATACCACTTGGTTAGGTTGATCTGAATCATTCAGAGTATAGCTGTGGTGTTAGCACCTGCGGTGACCATAAGGAAGCTGTGATGCCTTTGTCCAGCTTTGCCAGACGGCACTGCCTGTCGCCTCTAGCACACTGTCCACTTCCATAGGCAGCTAACGCGCAAATTCTAAGGGTAAACAATTTTTGTGTAGAAGACCTGTCCTGGCGAGTGACTATTAGGGGAAGTTGGAGAGGTGCCGGGCGAGGAGGGGAATCTAGGGCAAGCTGAAAAAAAACGAAATTTGATGACTGCACCATTGTGGACGGAGTTTTGTACTTTAACTAAGAATAATTTATCTCTGTACTTGTCACCGTTATTCTAAAACATGTATTAATGTAGTGTGTGGTTTGGTCATGGTATCTTCAGCCACGTTGACTCATCGTCTTCACTGAGACAGTTATACTGTGGAGGGTGTGTGGCGGTGAGAGAGGCGGTGATGGCGTGCCAGCTGGTCCAGCTGCTCACCGCTACTGTAAAATATAGATGGCGTGTGTTGGAAAGTCTCCCTCATTGATTGTGACCAGGGAGGCGGTGGTAGGCACGCACGCACTAGTTCTGGGGGTAGGTGCCGCTGGCTCCACATTCAGTAGATAGATAGGGCCTCTTCTACCCCAATCACCATAACTAATGTCCCTCGGGGACACCTGACACGCTCCAGGTTACCATGCTGTCAACCTTCGCTCGCCTGTAAACCATTCGTGTTATATATCCATTTTACAAAAATGTATGTACAGTACATCATAACGTATGTAATCACCAGTATTTTGTTTATCAGACTGACGCGATGTGTGTTGGGGTATAAACAGGATATGGCGGTCTCTTGACCAAAACTGTAGCTTTTATTAACACATCGGTCAGGTCCTCCCGACCCAGCGGACAGTGCTCCAGCGTCCTAGTACTAAGGCCCAGGTTAGATTCCGGATGCTGCTACGGACTGCATCCTGTGAGAAAGATATCTAGTAGATACAATAGGGAACACAATAGGTAGAGAATCTGTACATTAGATAGCCAGCGGTTAGAAAGACGAGGTCCAGGAGCTAACGGCTCGAACCTGCAGGTACAAATGGTAAATCGGCGTAAATACACATGGTCAGCTGGCCCACCATCACGTAATGTACAGCTCTAATACGAATAAGAGTATGGTATCCATTCTAACCAGTGCTCTCAACTATTAGGCTGCGTTTGTTACGTTATCGTAACAGATGTTGCAGATGCAACCTATTAGTAACGGCTCGCAAATATTCGTGTTTTCTATGCAGCGGACTAAATAGGTTAAGTGTTGCTTGGGTTCGTACGTTTCTGGTTAATCTTTTTTTTTTTTTTTTTTTTTTTTTTTTTTATACACGGAGTGACAAATGGAGAAGAGGCTCTCTGATGACTCGCTGCTTCTCTGGAAAGTAATGTGCACAGTTGTCAAAATTGCAAAATGAAGCATAATTATAATTGGCTGTTGTGAAGACACTGACGCTTTTCTATACCATATATAATTTGTAAATACCGCTAAACCTAAACTATACATCCATTTTCGGAATGCAACCTGTCCTCAATCTATGTTCATTCCATCCAGTGGTCGACCCTAAGACGCTTTCATCAATTTTAACTTGCTGTTTAGTCAAAATATGAATTTTGTCGTCAAATGTCGTAAATTAATATTATATATTCCAAACGCCTGCAACGGCGAGCAACGTTACTGTGCCTCATGCTGTGTCCGGTGTGGGGGGGGGGGTAAACCGGCACCCAATTCTGGCTAATCCATACAAATGAATTATGGAGGAGGCAGTAACACACTTTGGTTCACAATGTATCTACACCAAAAATAATAAGTAGCCGAAACTTGTGTAGAGCCTCTGTTACAACTCGACAACCAAGCCAGCTTTAAATGTCTTATTTTATTTGTTTATATTCCCCCCCCCCCCCCCACCCCCACCCATCCCCTTGCGTATAGTGTGGCCACTGTTGGGTATTAGTCACGTGTCACCAAGGAGATAGTCATATGCTTGGGTACATATGACTAGTGCCCGTGTTAGTATTTGCAGTGAGGGTGTGGCATGCGTCGTCCAATCGGCTTCCATGATCCCGGAGGTAAGTAAATAATTGTCCAATAGAGGACATGCATTCTGGAGGCGCGGAAGCTGCTAACCAATGAAGGTGCTGAACTTCAGGGTCGAGAGTATTATCTTTCGCCTACCGCCATGTACTCGCCTAGTTGTGCTTGCGGGGGTTGAGCTTTGGCTCCTTAGTCCCGCCTCAGCCGTCAATCTACTGGTGTACAGATTCTTGGGCGTCTCCAGCTCTATTATATCTACATTTGAAACCGTGTGCGGAGTCAGCCTCTCACGTTACTTCCTAGTGCATTTCAGACACCGAAAAAAGTTTTCTAACGTCTCTGACTCATTTGGATACTCGGCTTCCACCTGTGTTAAATAATCCATCATTGTCTGCCCTTTCAATTCCTCTGAGAATTTATATGTTCATTTTTTGTAGTTGTAGCATTGATGTAGTTGGCCCTGGGTGTGGGTACGCACATAGGCTTGTGTTGTATAATGTATCCAGCCGCCCTTCAGCAGCGTCTGCGTCATATTGCCTGTTCTTGCCTCCTGTGTTGCTCCTGCGCACTGCATGCAACGGTAAGGCAAAAACGTGTTTACGTGTCTTGTTCACTCTTGTTCACTTCAATATTATATTTACACCAAACCCATCGTACCTGTACGGTAGTAAACAAATGGAATGACCTGACAGCTGTGGAGCACCCCCCACCCCCCCTCCATCCGCAACATTAAGGCCAGATTCGACAAAGAATTCAAACGTTAGGATAGTTGAAGGATAACGCAACAGGCAGAACAAGGCTAGTAGGCTGGAGATGGCTAGACCTCGCTTCCCCTAGAGACCTAGACACACGCATAGGAAAGTGAATGATGCGCGCGCGCACATTTACAACATGACGGAATGCTATAAAAAGTTGACACTGCACTTTTTTTTTTTTTTAGCTACGTGGACATTTCGTTCTGAGTAGCTAAATCTAAAATAATAGACCACGACCAGCTTGACGCCCGAGGCAGACCCATGAGAACATTGTGTTAACCTGTCAATCATAAGGACGCCCTTTAAAACACTAAATAATAATTTATTTAAAGCACAATACACGCTGTATAGTCGTGTTTCTGTGGCGCTGACAGAAAGAGATCATTTATTCATATTTGACTGAACTATAAAATGACATGTAAAAAAAACTTACGACAAATGTAAATTGCTTGGCGTACAGCTCCAGTTGATGAGCTCACTTGCTCACTTGATGAACACGAGGCTCTTAATTTGATTGGGTTGTCTTCGCCAGACACTGGCACAGGACCTTTGTCCATGCTAGTTCTTTGCAGGAAGTTGATGATAAACGGGTTCACATTTAAATTATTAGTAAGTAAATACGAAGGTGGGAGGAGCTGGACTAGTAGGCAGATAACAAGTAGAGCGATATATAAGCCTACTTAATAAAGGGTAAACATCAAAATGTTGTGCCCTGCAGGAGCATAATAAAGTTGACGCCTTTGCTAAGGTGTCAACTTTAGTGTCGACTTTTGATTGAGTCGTCAATCAAGACTCAAGATTCCGTTCAACATTAGCAAATAGGTCTCCAAGTATCATTAGACGAGAACTCTTGGATAAATTTGAAGACATGATGAAATGTAAAGTAGAACATGTGTATGGGGCAAGTAACAAAATCAGACTAACAGACGTTGCCACAACTTGCCACAACGTTGCAATAAGACTTGGCTCTTGAGTATCTCTGGCAGTTGGGCTTGTATAGGGATCTTGAAGTGTGTGGACAGAGACGAAGAGAGACACTCGTGCATTATGTTAGTGGTGCAGTTGAGCCATTTAGAGAAATCTAATCTCACGTTGTATGAAATGACAAACCATCTTTTACTACAGGTAAAATGTGTGAAATCCTTGCACTGTCTATATCGCTTCCAGTACATAAACGACACAAGAGATTAATAAGTGTATTGTGAAGACTAATAACAAACGGCAGCTCTCCTGTGACCCTGTTTTTTCCATAGCTCAATTATGTATTATCGAAAATGCCTACCATTAATGTGTAATGATTCACTGTAAATATGTACCTATTGACGTGGAACTTTCTCTGGAACTAGCTGACATTATAAGGTGTAAAGGCTAGATGTAATTGTTAATGTAATGATCTCCGTTGCGGTCTGATAGACTTTTTGTGCCCTCTGTGATCCTTTTTTGGGTTACCGCTGACAGGATGAGTATGGGGTGGCAACAGTAAAAACCTGGCGTGACTACTGGGCGAAACAGCGGCGGCAGGACCCGGGGGAAGGCTAGGGCCGGAACGGGGAAGACGGGTGGCAGGTGCCGTCAGTGTGGGCCAGGCGGGCGTGGAGGCAGGCTGCTCGCGTCTCACCAACATCTTCCTGCAGAAGTACGCACTTCTCGTCGCCAGCGTGTCTGCAAACCATCCATTAATCACACTTATATTTATGTATGCCACAAAATGTCGTCAAAAGGTAATCAGCGTTTCAAATGTGACGTAATGAACAATATAAAAGTCGTGATGGTCAGTGTATTTGAAGGACTTAGAAAATGGTTCTCTTAACGTTCACGACCTGATGAGGTTAATGTTACTTTAGAAGTTAATAAGTGTAGATGTGCAGTGTCAGTGTGTGCCGAGTGCTTCACTTTGATAATGGCGGTAGTTGCCATTCTGTACTAAAAATGTACAAATTTTACACCCTAATAGTAAAGGTACAATCAGTTGGGTCCTGGACACGACGACACGTTTGGGCAGGTTTCCTTACGTCTGATGACTTTGTTCACTTGGCATTAAATAGTTGGGAGTCTTGAGACGTGTAGTAATCTTTGGAAGGTTCACTCGTCTGTTTAGGGGGACATAAGCAGCATAAGCTTCCTGTCACTAACGCTGGGAAACCTCGTACTTGCCTACTTGTATTTCCGGGGGATGAGCCACGGCTCTTATCCCCACTTTTGATCAACTAGCGTATAGGTTGCTGCCTGTATGGACCAATCCCAATCACTATGGACGGAGGGGCGGGACCGCGGGAGAGAATCGGTAATAGCAATAATTCGTCTTGGACACAAATATCCATGGAGATTCGGGATGGAAACAGCGGAGCTGCAGAATCTTTGGTAATAGACACCTTGACCACTACCCGAGACGTGAATATCTAAAACATTAGAGATGTGGAACATAATGAACCCCACTTTGTTTGAGTTAGGAAAATACTATGTCAGATATCCCGTTCTTAACAAAAAAAAAATCCTTCATTTTTCACCTGCAAGATTACGAAAATTTTAAGGGTCGACGAATGTTTAATCTTAAGCTGTTAACTGTCAATTTAAGCAAATCCAAGCCGTGTCTGGGTACAAACGACAGGATGAACACCCCAGCGGGTTTTCTTTCTATTGGGAGTATTGTACATGCTGCTATGGCTGTGTTCTCTCAAAAGATTGACACTGCCCAATAAACTCGCCCCTCAGGGCAAAATAAAAAATATTTCGTTCAAAAGGTCAAATTGACAGAATAATCTTGAGGTCGTTAAAGCTATTTTCTATATAAATTTTGTCAGATTTGTACAGAGGCGTGTGATAGGAGGTATAATTATAAACAATCTGTTGTTAATCTTTATTGACATTAAAATTTTGCCTAATCAGAGTAATTCAATTACGTCTTATTAGTGAGGATGAGGCTGGTATTGTCACACAGGATGGATCATTATACACAAGGCGATTGGTTTAAACTGTGGGCTGAAGTACGTATATAGTGTTCATGGGTTACAATCAATTACATATAAAAATTTACGAATATGTAAATCCAACTTTGTTGTGCACTGCCACACAAGGGGCAGGGATTAGTTCATAAGAGGTGCAGTTTAAAAATAAAAAAAAAAATTCAAAATGGAGAAGCAAATTTAAGGTAAATTGTTAGGTTGTCGTCCAGTACACAATTCAATGGAATAGTTACACAGTTGGTGGTACACTAGGCCGGGAGGTCTAACATCTTTTACGGTTTCACATTCAATAAGTGTTCTAGTGAATCCCTTAATTAAAGGTTAGTTGGTTTAAAAGCTGATTATTCTAGTAGTGGTTCAGTCTTAACTAACCTGCCAGATGTATCTATAGTAAAGGCGAATTCGCGCAATTACTAAATTACATTGTTTGGTCCAGTTACTTTACTGACCATACAAATACACACGATTACAAAACAAAATAGGTAGCTTGGTTACCAAGAGGATAACCAAGCTTGGTAATCTCAAGGTTGTGGGGGGCCAGGGCGAGTCTGCTGGGAGTGGGGGGAGGATGGGTGAGTGAGGGCTGGGATGGGGCAGGCTGAAGCGAGTCTAGACTGGGAAAAAAAAGGGTTATAGGGAAGCTTCAGCCGGTTGAAACTGGACACTACTACTACCACCTAGTAGTACGCACACATATGAACACGTTTGCGGATGATGCTAAGATAAAGGGTAAGATAGGAGACGCAGACGATTGCAATGCCCCTTAAATTTATCTATAAAATAAGTGCTTGGAGCATAAAGTGGAATTCAATGGGAATAAATGCCATGTTATGAAATATGGGATCCGAGAAAATAGACCACACACAACTCGCATTATTTGGACACGAATTACAGCAAATTAACAAAGTTGCTATCTTTTTATTCCAACATAGTTGAGGCTGTTGATAGTGGTAAGGTTTGCGATGTTTTGTACCTTGACTTTAGCAAAGCTTTTGATACAGTGCCACATGACTGATTAAAAAGATAGAGGTTCAAGGTATTGGGGGTGCTATATTAAGTTGGATTAGGGCATGGCTATACCAAAGGAAACGGTATAAATGGGGTTAAGTCAGGAGTGGTTAATTGTTGTTAGTGGAGTGCCTCAAGGCTCTGTCTTGGTAACCTCTTGTTAATTGTTAGTAGAGTGCCTCTTATTATAAACAAGAGGTTACCAAGACAGAGCCTTGAGGCACTCCACTAACAACAATTAACCACTCTGACTTAACCCCATTTATACCGTTTCCTTTGGTATAGCCATGCCCTAATCCAACTTAATATAGCACCCCCAATACCTTGAGCCTCTATCTTTTTAATCAGTCACGTGGCACTGTATCAAAAGCTTTGCTAAAGTCAAGGTACACAACATCGCAAACCTTACCGCTATAAACAGCCTAGTGGGGAAATCTTTGGAAGAGAACGGGGGATGGAAATGACGTCCTGAGGAACCCCAGACTCGCACCTTCACCCTTGGACCAAGGACTTACCCTAACTACTAAATTGAATCACTCTGGGAGGCAGTTTCCAGTCACCACGTGTGGGTAGTGAGGGACTTCTCTGAGACCGCTCAGAGCTCAGTAGTATGTCGGCTTCTCTGCAAACTTAGTCTAACACTGATGTTATAGTTGTATTATGCTTCCGGTTTTAGACTCTACATGTGTAATTTTTTTATGCGAGGACTGAGGCCAGGGAAGGACTGCCCAGTCTGTACAGTTTATGGTCTCCCTCCACTTTTCCACTAGCATTACTGTCTATGCTTTGTTGGGACAGAATTCCTGGTGGTGGGGAATGAGGAGCTGGGGAGGGGGATGGGGTGGTGGTGGCTTGTTAGTTCTAATCAATAGCGCTTGGTGGTGTGGCCTTGAGGGCTGATAAGCTGAATTTCTGGCCTAGTTTACCATGGTGTTGGTTTCTTTGATTTTTTTATGCAGTCCCATCTGTGCCAGGATGGGTAATTGTGCAGTCTTCAGTAGCTGGTGGTGGAGTGTTGTTTGTGTTTATAGCACCTGTGATTGTCTGTTTGCATAAACACTTTAGCACGTAATTAAGATATTTTTTTTCCCCTTTTGTTGATTCTTACACCATTATTACTCTCTTCTCTAGTTTCTTTCATTCCTATTTCAGACATTTTGGCAAGTTTCCTTTCACCTGATGTGTGTTCAACAAGCAATAAATAAGTACCTGGGAAATGGGCGACTGTTGTTGGTAACATCCTGGGAAGGTCAGTCATTGGGGGACCTGGTAAGCCTGACACCATTCCTGCCCCCCAGAAAACCAGGTCCTCTGGTGACGCTGTTGACTACTCTGGCTGGCTCTGTTCCAGCCCAAATCCCTATCCTGATCCCTTCCTAGTGCTATATGGTCATAATGGCTTGGTGCTTTCTCCCGATAATGCCTCCCCCCCCCCCTATCCCCACGTAAAACCTACCCTCTGGGAACGCAATAACTGCCAGGTCCAGCTGTGCTTGTGGTGGTCACCGGTCCAACGTTTGGTCCACACCAGTTTTCGAAGACACAATTGGAGGCGTCTCACTTCCTTTCTTCGTGTGCTAATCAATACCGGGTGCCATGTGTGGGGTCGATACTGCTTCATTCCTGGCTGCTGCGGCGGGGCGGTTGGCACACGTCCTTCTGGGGTAACGCTTTTGTATGTGGAAGATCAGAAGGTCGTTGTTAGGTTTTATCCGCAAATTAATGTGGTGGCGTGTACTGTGAATGGAAGGTTTGGGTGTACTCTAAGCTGGCAAGTGGAATAATGTGTACTCCAAGTAAATAAAAATGTAACCCGCTGCGTGCAAGCAAGGCTGACAAAACTGTAGTTAGAAAAAGAAAAACCTTTTGGTGTTGTATTTGTAGTTTTAGATCGGCTACTAAATTAGCTTTTTGGGTACTGCATTATCAGTCATTTATGGCAGCCTAGGCTCGGTGTTATCATGGGACTGAGAGATCAAGGACTGCAGGTTGGCAGAGTTGAATTTCCAACGTCAGCGCCCTTGTTGTTGGCCGTCAGCGTTGTCATGACCACCGCACGCCATCACAGTTGCTGGGTTTAGTCACAAGCATCAACTGTGTCGTGCGCTTTTATATTAGCTGTCTAAAAGTAACTAGATGCATAATTTCATCAACCGTTTTATACGGGGCTTGTAAAATATATAGACAAGTTATAATCTTTATATAAATTATGAAATAGATGCATTTTGAGTATGGTATTTGTGAATATTAATATTAGATTATGTAACTAGCTAAACAAGTTTAATGACTTGGCTAAACGAGCTGTGGGATTCGGTTATTTTAACCTGTTGTGCCTGTGCAGCCCGTCCTCTAAACAAAAGATCCAAAGTTCATTCCATGCACCCGCCAAACCCCCTGTTTATGAATGGAAAAACTGTTTACTGATGACGTTCTGATGTTCTGATTAAAAACAACTGATGACGTTCGAACACGTCCGGAACAAGGGCTTCACTGACGAATTTTGTTTGAACCGCAACGCTGTAAATGTTTCACCCACGTACTACAAATAATCGCCAACAGAACCTAAACAGCCAACCTAATCGGTGCCTAAATATGTACAATATGGTAATATAAAATAATTTATATTTGAGAAAATTCTGGTTTTTAATGAACAGCATGTTAAAATTGATGAGTCTTTGGGGTCGACCGCTGAATGGAATGGACTTGGCATGAGGACGGGTTGGCCTCTTAAGCCGCCCACAGGAGGGGTTATGGTGGTCCATAGTATAGCTTGGCTAGTTAATATGCAGCCCATACCCCCATCCCGTTGGACGGCGAAGGAAAGTGTTAATCACACGGGTTGAAGATCTGGACCCGTGTTAAAGAAATTAACATTTGTGGGGGGAACTAGTTAATGTTCTTAATTGTCTTAAATTTTGTGATGCAACGTAGTGTGAAGTTAAGGTTGAGAGTTGGTGTGGGCTGCCACCCGGGAAGCATCTTGCCGTGTGCGAGGCTATGTTCACCAGACTGGCCTGTCAGCTCAACACGAGCCTTCCTCGTGGTCCGCTCGTGTTTACCTGAAACAGAAATCGTAAGGCGGTTGTCAACGTTTTATATAACAAGCTTAGGTAGCAACACTGTTTTGGTTTCTTAATGCGTGTGAAAGGGATCACAGTACTATTTAAGTTTACTAAATTAAACTCTTATATTAAAGCTTCAATATTGGGTGCGTGTATCAGTGTATCAAAATAGTTAATGCTCCTTTTATAGGTTAAACTGAGGTTCCATGGTGCTCCGTGGTAACTAACTATAACGGTTCCCCACTTACCTGCGCACTCTAAATTACATTTTTTTTTAATTACTAGATTCATAAATGTGTTATATTTGGGAGTTAAGTGTAAGTGGATTCAAGAGCCGCTTGGTGACTGGGTTTGGGTTGCAAGTGTGGAGGTGTGGCGACAACCGGCAAGTGTGTAGTAGTGGCAGTGTTGTCCCGGGAGCCTCAGTGGGGCCGGCGGCTGGTGAAAGGTACAGGGGTCAGTGTGAGCTGGGTGGTGGTGGTGGCGGGTGTCGGTAATATTTTGCGCACGCGCACGCTATCTGGAGGTTGTTTAACCTGTGGCAGCAGGGTAAATGACGAGCTGCCAAGTTTGTTAAAAAGTTTTAAGAGTGTGCGTTCAGTATATGAGCATCTTCCAAGGTATTTAGAACAGTGTTTCCTTCTGCGCCACAGATTGTGCTAAATAGGTCTTCTAGGGATGGTGCCTTGTTTTGATACTCATTGATGCGGTACTCATCGTATTAGTGGCAAGGTAAGTGTCGGATAGCTGCAACACTGGAAAAGGTGCTGATTAAGACAGAGCTCTTAAACAATAGAAGCTAGTTTTTCCCCATAGGCATTTACGGAAGTCTAGCTGTATAGGAACGACAGCTATAATCAACAGTATTTCTAAATCTACCTGGCCAAGGCAACACTAACGCGAGGTCTGCTTCAACTCTCACAACCAAACTTTACTCCAAACGACCTTAACTACAACTGCAGTTAAACTACATTTATTTATTGTCATTGCAAGTAGTTCCTAAAATTACCATATATGGTCTTAATAGTTAGCAATTTTCAGTTATCTTGAAGTGGTGTCAGTCACAACTTGGGAACGCCTACACAAGCAACAACTCTGAACAACACTGGTACTCACAACAAGCTCCACCAGCTCAGGGTGGCATAACTCATCACACACGATCACAATAACGTGATGCATCAAATGAACAAATCCACAAGATTAATCCTCAGTCGATTAAGGCAGTGTCTGGGATGCTCCCGGACGCAGGTTCGAATCCTCGTCACGGCCCTTGTGGATTTGGCATAACTCAAACTCCACAACAAACTAGACTCGTTCTTGGTTCAACAGCCTGTTGGACCAAGTTATCATAAGTCGAGGCACGCCCCGGGCCGCGCTCGGAGAGTAGAACTACTATTGAAACTCTCCAGGTATGCTCCAGGTATACTTACCAAAAGGCCAAAATCACAACCCGTCTTCAAAGTCTCTTCTATCCAGCGGTCGACCCGAAAACTGCATTCATAAATTTTAACATTGTTTATTCAAAACAGGAATTTTCTCATAAGCTAATATTATATATTAGCATATTGTGCATATTTAGGCACTCGTTAGTTTAGATTTTGTTGGCGATTATTTGTATTTGTAGTACCTGGGTGAAGCTTTACAGCGTTGTGGTTCGAATAAAAGTAGTCAGCGAAGCACTTGACGTTTGAACACTTCCGGAACATCAGTCGAGTAGTGTTTAAAGTTTCATTCATAAACAGGGTTTGGCGGGTGCATGGGATTTACTTTGGCCTTTGTTTATGAGGACGGGCTGAAAATCGTCGTATTAGAAAATGGTTCTGCAGGCGAAAGTGACGTACTGTCCCGTTTTGTGTTGGATCCTCTGGTAGGCTAGGTTATTCGTTAGGCTAGGAGAGGGCACTTAGAACGACAGTTTCTTGACGTTTGGAAACCCTAGGCTGACGGGCACCAGCTAACTTATTATAATTACTGGAACTTATAATTTTTTTGTAGCCTCAAAATTAGTATATTCCCATAGTGTTAATTCGTTTACAGGTAGACTTGAAAACGCGCAACAGTAAGTAAAAACCCACACGAGGAATGCAGGTGTTTATTGAAGTTATAAAGGGATGAAATATTGCCTTGCTGCAGATTGTATGAAAAAAACAAAACTTTAATTACAAAATGAACAAAGTACTGGATACCAGTTTCGGTGTCATTCTGGATACGCTTACTGGATACCAGTTTCGGTTCGGCCAGTAAATAAGAGGTAATCTCGCCCACAATGTAATTAATTGATCAAACCACGGAAGCGGTGGTACGAGTATGAGTAGCCCCGTAACACAATGGAAGTGCGTGTTGGTCTGTAGTGAAGTGGAGATAACCTGGGTGTGGCGAGTCTCACAACTTGCACACGTGTGAGTTTGTGGCTTTAAGTCAGTCCCTGCCGCCAACACAAGTATAGTACGTAATTGTTGGTGATGGACAAGTGGTAGTAATTGAATGACGCAATTTGCCTCGATCTTTTGCAACTATGGGAACAGTTTGGCTGAGACTCGGATCATATAATCTTTATTCTGTCTGAGACTGTTATCCGTTTATAAATTGTGCAAGATAGACAAAGGATCAGTTACACTGGTTACTCAATTGGTACATTATTGAAGGATGGTGCGGGAAGGACTTCATCGTGGCTTATTAGTGCGACAGTGGCGAGTGCTGATGACATCGGTCTGAAAGGTTACTCTTAATTTTGATGCTGTGATAAGTTGATTTGTGATTATAGCGAATTATAGTTTGAAGGGGGGGGGGGGTGCTGTTAGCTTGTGCCGCCCACACGATTGGCTGACAGGCTGGGCGGGTGGGTAGGTGCAGTGGGCGGGCTGACTCTTAAAAGGGCGAGCACCTTTAAATGTGTGTAGTCACTAGCTGGGAGGCTATCGGCCAACCCCCGTGTCACTTAATGTTGTGACGTCAGAGTCTTTCTACTCTGTAATAATCCGGTCCTATTTTATGACAAAATAAAACCTTACATTAAGATCAAACATAACCCATCAGACTTAATTGGTTTTCTATCTTGCGTTCCCCACCATATGATTAATCTGCATTTTGAAATGCCTTCCTCACCTTTCCTCAAGCTTTGACACAATTTAAGGTTAGAGAGTCCCAAAGTACAGTTGGGTTCGTTCTCCACGCATAATAGCGAATTCTAGGTTCTAATCCAGGGCAGGACAGGAAATGGCTGAGAACATTTCCTTTCACCTAATGCGCCGCCTCACTTAGCAGTAAATTCTGACTCAGGAGTCAGCTTGTTGTAGAGTTGCATCCTGGGCGGGGTCTGTAATTTGACCTTGGTAGGGGGGGAAGGCCTCTAAGTCTAACCTGTATGAACAGTCTTAATGTCCCCGACAATGGTATTATTTAAGCAGTTTATGGATTTAGTTTTATCTAGATTAAAATTAGACAACTAGGCCTAATCCCTAGGTTGTGATGTAACTTCTATGATGAATGCCCAATGGATGTAAGTTTATTTAATCATTAAACTTTTTGATTGCATTTCAGTTAAATATTAAGCTAAAGTAAAGTTTTACATTGCTTATATTGGGATTTGTAATAAGGGTTACAAAAAACCTTGTTACCATAGATTAGGGGCATTCCAGGACAGATCACATAATGGCTTCCACCACACCCTCATGGCTTTTGATGACACTTGAAGTTAGATATGAGTGATTGCTGTAAATATTCATGAAATAATGTTGTCCCATTTGTTCCTGAGATATGGGAGGGATCAACTTTCAAAATGAGTCCCAGACCCCCCCCCCAGTGTTACTACATACTGACCAAGTATAACATGACATATAAGATGTGGCGTCTTTGAAGTTCAATCTTGTTACCCATTTACCAATAACAATTGTCTTGTCCACATTATTGCTGGTTGTTCTGGAACAGTCTACACTTATCAGAATGCAAAACTATTAGTTTTGGCAGTTGAGTGCAAGGGATTACCATATTAAACACTAATGGCAAAATCAATTTGTGATATGGAGAAACAGGCGTGTATGCTCAACAAATGAAGGAACTGTCCAGGAACTGTAGTCATGACATCTGAAACTAAAATTGGAATATGAAGCAGTTGCATGGTGCCTGTATTTAGAGCAGCACATCAATAAACTGGAAAAGGTACAAATAAATTAAACTAAATGGCTTCTGGAACTGACAGAGCTAAAAGGAGAGGCTAAAGGTATGCCAAAGGTAGGACAATCACTACGTACAAAATAGTAACAGGAATGGACAAAACTGACAAGTTATTTAAACCTGCAACTTCAAGAACAGGGTCATAAATTAAAGTTAAGGAAACAAAGCTGGCCAAAAAAACTTGAAAATACAGTAGTGGTAGACAGTTAGAGCAAGTCAAATGAGAAGGTTGTGGATGCCATAGCCACCAGTAGTTTCAAAGTCATGTGATGGAGTACTGGGAAGATAGGACATGTAAGCGTAGCTCTTGTCCTGTAATTACACTTGGGTAATTACATAAACTTTTATGGATACAGTAAGTTTAATAGTATGGTTTGTGGGGTGACATTTCATACAGTATAATAAATGCTGTGCATTTTGTGTGCATCATTCAAGAAGCATTTGATATTGGATTTGACTTTCACTTGCTTCAAAATTTGTCTTGTACAATTATTAAAAGATTTTTATTTGCAGGAAGAAACAGCAGCAAGCATAATTGTTGAAACTTGAGGATATTGACCACTGCCACCACCATTGTAAAGTACAAAGCTTGTACTGTATTGTTGGTACAGTGGTATCTTGGTATCAAGACAAGCAACGTGAACTACCACTGTGGTAAATACAGTACAATATTTACCTTTAAACAATACATTGCAATTGCTTGGAACCGTTTTCTTCTCTGGTGTTAATTTAACTGTAGACACTTTGTAAACTCTGAAATACTCATCAGTAACTGTAACTTCCATACCTGCTAAACAAATGTGGTTCTGGCCCTGAACTGTGTGCCTCTTAACTTTTTCTACTGCTAACATGATGGGTTCAGGGTGTATAATAAATTTAAATCTCCATTTAGCAGTCAGTACAGTAATAAATTTAATTTTACTAGTAATGAATTAATACTTATAATTTTTTTGCAAGCAATTAGCTTCCTTGCAATTTTGTTACTGTATTTTATAGGCTCCGTTTTACTTTAAAAAAAAAATCTTATTTAGTTCTCCCTTTACAGACTTGTCCAATTTTGTATAATCAAGATGTTGGGAGCTCACTTGGCTCGGCTGGGGTTAACTGCAACACACAATGTGGTGCACCCCCACCACTCGCTGGCCAAGGCCATGCGGATCGTACAAATGGCACATTCCTCTTCTAGCATAGAATATCGACCCATCAAATCTGTCCTAGTTGCTAATAGAGGTACAGTATGTTTGTTTGTCTCGTAGATTTATTTTGTGGCTTGCAGTGTAAAAGTAAATTGACCCTTAAAATGCAGTTATCATGCATTGACTTGAGGGATTACAGTACAGTATATGGTTATAAAAAGTAAATTTATCCATTATTTGGGTTTTACACCAATGATGCTATTTGGATATAATAGTGCTATATGGATGCAGTAGATTTACCTTGACCCATGAAAAATTCCTATTTCAAGATTACATTATGCAAATGTGGTTATCGCAGGTGTATCTATGCCAATGTGATAATCATCATGGTATAAAATTCAGTTAGAATTATATGTGGGTATTGATTATATTCATATGGTTTTCAGAACTGATTGTAATGAAGTATATCAGATTAACCAATAATCATTTGAACAAAATAAACTGCAGAAGGCCTATTGGCTTAAGTTTTTTTTTTTTTTTTTTTTTCCTCCTAAACTCATTGATATACAGGCCAATGATCCCAAGCATGAAAGTTTGAATGGATGACTCTCGCTTGCTCATATACGAGTTTGAATAGATAAAAATAGGTGATGGCTCCTATTTATATAGTTCATATAAGTATCTGCCTTGTTAGATTGGCCTGCAAATTAGCTGGGTCAATAGGAATTCTGCAGTTAACTTATTTCTTATTGATATACAGGTACTGTATTCATACATTCATTGATACATACATTCATTGATACATACATTTTCATTGATGCATGTATATATTAATGTGATTGTACACACATCAAAGGTGAACATAGTCCCTGGCTCAGGCTGGGTGTTTTGCAAAACACATCTCTGGTGCTATTAAATGGCATAATATAAAAATATTTAAAATTCTTGGATTTAAACAGTAATTTTTCCCAGAAAATTAAAAATATTTAGTATTTTATTGCATTAACTAATTTTTGCACTTTTATAGGATAATTTTATTCTTCCAGGTGAAATTGCTATAAGAGTCTTCAGAGCGTGCACAGAATTAGGCATTAGATCTGTTGCCGTTTACAGTGAGCAGGACAAAATGCACATGCATAGACAGAAAGCAGATGAATCGTACATCATTGGGCAAGGGCTTCCACCTGTCGATGCTTACCTATGTATTCCAGAAATAATTAGAGTAGCAAAGGTAAGAATTTCATTGTATAATTGTGGTAATTAGGGTAATTAGTAATTTTCTAGAAAAGATCTGTAATTATAGCATTGAGCAAGTAGATGTCAATTTTTTCCCCCAGATCATATTGGACTTTATTTGTGAATTTTGTCTATTTATAATTGGAATAAAGTTTACATGAAAAGTACAGTACATTAATTACAGGTTAAAATAACAGCACGTAGTCATTATTAGAATCGTAAACTTAATTGATACAGTATCACCTTTTATGAATCCTTGCAATACAATTACTGGCTGGACTAAACAGATGTATAGCAAATTAAATAAAATCAAACTTACATTTTGAGGCATAAATTGATATTTACTTAATTTGAAAAATATATTGTAAAGACAAAGGAAGGTTTAACATTTGAGCAGCAAGACAAATTGGCACAATTTATATCACAATTTAGAAGTGGCAAATGGAAGTAGTAATATGTTAATCATACCACTTACAGTATTTATATATTTGTATTTATATACAGGAAGGAACATTAGGTTGAGAAAGTACATACATTGGAGTTTGAGTGTAACATTCTTGCAAAGCCACGAAGGTACCACTTCAGGCAGATTCTAAAGCTAAACAATAAAGGAAATGAAATTTGAGGTAAACACAAATCACAATAGCGTGATAAATGAAATGAACAAATCCACATGGGCCGGGATGAGGGTTCGAACCTATCGTGGCGCAGTCCACAAAGGCGCATCTGGGATAATCCTGGACATGGGTTTGAACCCTCATCACGGTTCTTGTGGATTTGTTCATAATAAATTGCCAATAAATAAATGGATTGGCAGATGTAAAGTCGGTTACAAATAGTTTCATTTGGTATTTCTAGGAAAATGATGTAGATGCTATCCATCCTGGTTATGGTTTCCTCTCTGAACAATCTGAATTTGCACAAGCTTGTTTAGATAATGATGTTCGGTTCATTGGGCCATCGCCTGAGGTTGTGAAAAAGATGGGTGACAAAGTGGTTGCTCGACAGATGGCAATTAACGCAGGTATGTTTCTGAACTGTGTACATCAGAAGTGACCAGTTTCATGCATGCATAATTAATAACAGTGGAAGGTGTTAAATGTTTGGAGTAAATTTCTTGGTGAACTATAAGAATAAGCAGCAATTTTAAACACATTGTTACATAATTGTTTCATGATATAAAGCGGGTAGTTAATAGGGAAATTTTAATAATTTTGTGAAGTATGAACATGGAAGAATAGAATTGCCACTGCCAAAAGAAAGGCAAGTTCTTCGAAACTGTGTTGTGATGGCTCTGTAATCAGAAATTGCTGTAAACTGGTCTTGTATGTTGTATGGAAGATATTGTAAATATTTTTCTAAAGTTCTGCTTAAATTAGAGTATATTCTGCATAATACTAGTTATAGTTGCTACTTAATTTGGTACTCTCAGGATAATGGTTAGGATTTGATAAAATGGCGTGGCATGCAAGAAGTACTGGTGTATAGTAAGGCATTTGGTAGTTCATTGATGGATGAAAAAGCAGTGGACCAAATGTTACCATGTTGAATACAAATCTTAATTGGCAGTGTACTGATATTTACTGATACTGATATCACAGCACACTTGATTAAAATTGGAACGTGGTAAGTATCCAGGATTTGATAAATTTCTGCTAAGAATTAAAATTTTTCTATTAGAACTTGTAGTTAAAAAGTCCTAGCTTAGATTTTAGTATGTAAGTAAAAAATATTCAGCATGGTCTTTGGCCAAAAAAATCTAATACCTGTACTTTTTTGTATCAGGTGTTAACGTTGTCCCGGGAACTGATTTGCCAGTAACTTCACCTGAAGCAGCACACGATTTCTGTGTTAAATATGGCCTACCAGTAATGCTGAAAGCTGCATATGGAGGTGGAGGGCGTGGCATGCGAGTGGTCCGAGAGTTGGCTGTGAGTTAAACATGCTCTACATTACATTGGTTGTATTTAAAAAAAAAATTGAAATGCAGTAGTAAAGAATATATTGATAAATTATCAAGGCAGTCATAAAGATGTAGAAATGAATATGCTGTGTGTGTGTGTGTGTGTGTGTGTGTGTGTGTGTGTGTAATATATATTATTACTGTATGTACTTAAATTGTGTAAATGATATACTATATGCAACATTGATGTACTGATATACATATAGTTTTTCTGAAACTTGTCTAATTCACTTTTGTTTACTACGTAGGATGTAAAAGAGAATTTCCGTCGAGCATCTTCTGAGGCTGAAGCAGCTTTTGGAAATGGGGCAATGTTCATTGAAAAATTCATTGAAAAGCCTCGGCACATTGAACTGCAGATTTTGGGAGACAAGGCTGGAAATATTGTACATCTCTATGAACGTGATTGTTCTGTACAGCGTAGACATCAAAAGCTGGTGGAGGTGGCTCCTGCCCCCAACCTTGACCAAAGAGTAAGATCATTCTTAATGATTGTTTAGCCACTTGACCACTTGGAATCCCCAGAAATTAACTCTTTGAAAAGTTTTTCCTCTTGTTTGGTGTTGCATATTTTCTTTTAATACAGTACTTGACATGAACCATAATACTGTAAATGCATTTACATTAATAAGTAATACTGATGATCCATATACTGTAACTAGAAGTGTTGGGTTCTTTCTATTAGAACATTGTTAATTTTACAATAGTGTGGCAATTGTAAGTGTCTCTACAGGTTCGTGAGGCAATGGCGGCTGATGCTGTTAAACTGTGTAAGAGTGTGGGCTACGAGAATGCTGGTACCGTCGAATTTTTGCTAGACAATAGAGGAAATTATTTTTTTATAGAAGTAAATGCTCGACTTCAAGTGGAACATACGGTCACTGAGGAAATTACTGGGTAAGTTGGGAGTGGATTTTCAGTTACCTTGGTTTTAAACTTAGTTTAATTCTCTGAAAATAACTAAATTCTTATAAAGCATTATCATAACAATAATTATACTGTACAGTATTATGAAAGCTGGTGTAAGTTAAATGTGGATGCCATCTTGTGTGAACACAAATGTTAGATAACACAACTTCAGTGGTGGTTTGATCCCACTGTAATTCAGATTTTGTCATGTTAATCTTAATGGTATTTGTCAAATGTTTACATTTTAATCATAGTTGTGCCTCGCTCGCTCAAAAACAATGCAAATCTAAAAATTTCAGAAATTAAATCTTTGTTCCTCTTTTAAAATAAAGGAAAATAGCCGTTGATTATCTAGTGTTGACCTAATGTCTGTGCTGTAGAAGTCATAAATGCTGTATTTATCAAAATTAAAAATATATGAAATTTGAAAAGCGATGTGTAATTAATGCAAAGGATAAAAAATGGTTTTCCTTTGACCTGGTGACTGAACACTGTTAAGCAATATTTTGGCTAGGATGAGAGCTAAAGGCTGTGCACTCTTCACCATGTGTGCCCACTATGAATTTCAATTGGAACCGTCGCCAATTGGTATTTACACACATGTTGGGGGGGGGGGGGGTAGCATTGTGATGCATCTAATAATTTGAAGGTTAAGATATGTACTTTTTCCATAACAGTTGAGAATAGTATGCACTGTACAGTACTGGTCTTCCATTGTTTGGAATAGAGCCTGTTGACCTGTGCTTGTCTTCCTTGCCAAGGCTAGTGTTGACTACATGGCTATGCAAGCAACTACTTCAGTTGCTTCCAATCTTGATACAGTAGCGCACATTGTTTCATATAGTCGTACTCGTGTCCTCCTGAACCATGGTATCTAACATGATACAAGAAAGGGGCTCGTACATATGTGTGAATTTACCAGAGGGTCGCCATCTTTAGTGGTCTTGATTAGAACGGGAAACTGATGGAGTGTTAGAGGTTTCACCATGTCTTCCTGGTAATTTTTTCTTTGCAAGTTGTGAATGTCAAGCCACGAGTAAAGTAAATCCAGTAAATCTTCCAGTAAATTCTTCCAGTAAATTCAAATGTCTTGGTCTTTTAGACTGTGAGGGCTGAGGTTCTGCTAGAAGAGGAGAGGCTTTGCTAGATAGTGGAATGTTACAAGGTCATCTACTATTAGATGCTAAATACAATAAATTGTCCTGACATTTCCTACATACTCGATTTTTTCTTCAGAATTGATTTGGTGCAGTCTCAGATCCGTGTCACAGAAGGTATGACTCTCCCAGAGCTTGGCATGACCCAAGATAAAATTACTCCCCAGGGATGTGCTATTCAGTGCCGTGTCACAACAGAAGATCCTGCCAAAGGTTTTCAGCCTGATACTGGTAGATTGGAGGTATGGCTTTGCTACATTACTATTCACTGCAAGAAAATAGATTTATCAAATATTGCTCAATTAATAAAATTGATTTTGCGCATTTTCTGCCCAATGCAGCCCTCCTGAAAGACTTGATAAAGTTGTCACATTTCCATTTGAAGGCTTGTAATGTTATTTAAATATATATATTTCATAATGAAATACAAAATTTATAAGGTGTATACCTGATGTTAGTACAGTACTGCATATCAATAAATAGTTTGATAGTGTTCTGAACCATGCTACATAATATAATATAATTTAATTTTCTGAAACCTTTGTATCATATTACATTCTTTATTTAGGTATTCCGAAGTGGCGAAGGTATGGGTATTCGCCTTGACGGTGCTTCAGCATATGCTGGGGCAATCATTTCGCCATATTATGATTCCCTCCTTGTGAAAGTCATATCTAGAGCTTCAGACTTGCATGCCTCTGCTGCTAAAATGAATCGTTCCCTCCGTGAATTCAGAATACGTGGTGTAAAGGTAAAAAAAATTGTTTTTGCTTCTAATAGCACAAGTATTAAAAATAGTTCATATGGGTTAAACTAATGAATGGCATACAGGAGAATGAGGGTTTAAATAGGATGAGGGTTTGGTCCTGTGGTTCTACTCTACATGGGAAAAACTATGGTTACTGCAACCTCCATATTTTGTAAAGTCATAGCCCACCATTTGTTTTGAGGTTGGCTTGCAGAAAATTTTCTAACTTATTCTTTTCATTCGTAAATTTTAGGTGATCACAAGTCTTATGAATATGCCAGATAATGTTCATATCAGTTGGATACTCTAGTTTGAGATTGGTGGTAGTATTGTGTATATAATGTCAATTTTTATTTAAAAACAACCACTTCTTGTTCAACGTAATATATGCTAGTGTTGAGATCCGTTGGATATAACTGGATATACTATACAATACCAAATTTAAAAATTTTTGCATTTTTTGGGCAAATTTCATTATCAAATACAGTAATTATTTAGCTTTAGTCGTGAAAAGGCTTGTACTGTAATGCATTTCATTATAACCAACATAAATAATATACAATATGAAGACACTATATTTTTTCCTTATTACCAAGAGGGGAACAGCTCACAATAGTAGTTTACCTGTTAACGGGGGATTTATCTCGGTTGCTTTTGCTACAATTATAAATTAAATGCTTCTATAGTACAATCTTTGCATTCATTCCTTCTTGCCATAAAACAAATCGTATGCAATTTTGGGAGCAAATTATGATTTTTTGGGGATCAGGTGGATTAATGTGTTTTAACATTAGTGTTAATGGCTCAAAATTGTCTATACATTATTTTACATAATTTTGTTTCTAGTCTTGATACAGAATATAAAATTATTAAAGCTCAGATTTTAGTTGCCTCTTTACATTGGCCTAATTAAATATAAACATGGTAAGGTTTCTTTTAGCTGCATTTCCACTTTAATAGATATTTTGCAATGTGAGCTTGGAGTTTGCTGAAATAGGTAAGGCGTTAGTGCACAAGGCAGCCTTTTTGGTAGAGACGTACCTTGATAAGTGAATATATTTTGCTGCCAGTTTTAATGTTCTTGCATTTTGTGCTTCATAACTTACTGCTATTATTTATGGATCTTTAGATATGAATTAAAATTTAAATTTTCTTTCCTGCTAGACCAACATTCCCTTCCTCCTCAATGTGTTGGAGAACCAGAAGTTCCTCAATGGCACCATCGACACAACTTTTATTGACGAACACCCTCAGCTCTTCCAGTTTAAACCATCTCAAAATCGTGCACAAAAGCTTCTCAATTACCTGGGGAATGTTTTGGTAAATGGCCCATTAACCCCTCTTGCTACGGGCCTTAAACCTGCTGAAGTCCATCCTGTGGTACCATCAACGCCTGCTGGTAAGTCATATTGAATAGTAAATACGGTAATTACAAAAAAAATAAAATGGTAGAAGCCAACTTCCATAAAGATACAGCTACAGCAATTATTCCCCAATATTAAGTATAGCATTTGTGGTATAGTAATTATATGATGACCAAACTACACATTATAAGATAACAATGTTTCAACTTGATAATGGTCCAGGATGGACTGAAATGTCGTTTCTCCATCTTTTGGTGTGGTTTGGTAATCATATCTTCAGCCACAACGTGACTCGTCTCCTGCTTAGTAATTATAGTAAGGAACGAGGATTCAGTTCAGTGTTGACTATCCCACCTGCCTCCCTCTCCCATTCCTTTCCAGTACATCCAAAACTGGTGGTTCAGATATACCCAAGGATGGTAGTGAGCAGTGTAACTAGGCAAACCAATGTGCAAATTGTAGATAATAATAATTGGGATCAATATAATTAGTAGTTTATTTGGTATTTGTTAGAAAAGTTTATGAAGGTACAGTATTTAGTATAAAGATGTTTACGATGGTTTTAAGTCCTGGTCTCTTATACACCATCCAGTGTGTGTATTTGGCACGTAGGCAGTTCTATAGGTTTGTTACCTGTGTAAGTGTCCCTTCTGATGTCTATTGGTATTGTCTTTACAAGTTTGAAAATAGACTTCAGATTTTCTGTTGAAATGGTTTGGATTGAATTATTCATATTTGTCTAGACATTAAATCTTATTTTAAGTTGTTTATAAAGTGGCCTTTAGTCTTTCTGGTATGTGTTTACTGTTACAGGATTTTTATTGGTCAGGTAAATTACAACTTGCATTTAATCTAAACTTAAGGTTTTTCTCAGCTACTGATCCTCCACGGGGCTTCAGAGATGTACTTGTTGCTGAAGGACCAGAAGGTTTTGCAAAGGCTGTCAGAAATCACAAAGGACTTTTACTAATGGACACAACCTTTAGGGATGCCCACCAGTCTCTTCTTGCAACTAGAGTCCGTACTCATGATCTCCTAAAGGTAAAGACCTAAATATAAAAATGTTATCTAATTTGTGCACTGTTGAGCATGTGACGACTCGGACCCACTGAGGGCAAGTTAGTTTAAGTATGTAAAGTACGAGCTCTCCACCAAAATCTGGAATCATATTGTTAAGGACCCAATCTTTATTTCGGCCAATTTGCCCTGTGTGTACCAAGTGGCCAAGAGTAGCACAAGCACCAGCAGTTCATGGCACTGCCATGCATCTTGTGCCCACAGCATCACTTAATCAGTTAATTTCATCATTAACATTGATAGTATCATAAAAATCCTGACAATGATGGAATTTGTACAAGGTGAATTTGTATATTGATAAACCCATGCTTGTTATGTTCACAGCTTAAGGCACACCACCACAGCTTAGTGCCTCTATGCGTCATGCAATGGGACCTCTTGCTCCTTTAGAAAATGAACATGAGAAATGTTACATATTTAGGATTTATTGACCAGGATTCAGATGAGGGCATTGTTTTGCCACATGATTTGTTGTGCCACATGATTTTGTTTTGCATAGCATATTGGGTGGCACTTTGCTTCGTCATGTGCCATGAGCAGCTGAAGAGTATGTAGAACTATGCTATGCTTGTGTCAATGTTAACAAGAATATCATGCCCACTATAAGAGCATAGTGGTTCATAATGGCACATAAAAATGTACATAAAGTACTGTACTTGTATATGTGATGCAATGTAATAACGGCAAAGTGTTTAAAGTGTGCATATTAGCGACACAAATATCTGTACAATATGTACTAAATGTTGTGTGATGTAAATAACATTGACAGCCCAATGCATCATTGCACTTCAAAAAGTTGTGGTAAAAGCTTTAAAAAATAATCTAATCAATGAATGCAGTTAAAATATGCAAAATATACGGGGGGTAGGCTGAACATAGGTCACTGGTTATGGGATTACCACACCCACCAGAACAACTTAGTGGTTTGTAATGGTACAAACATACACATATAAAGAATGTGTGCGCCATGTGATAATAGCAAGAGTACATTTTATTGTTCAAATAACACAATATTGTGCACACATTAGAGATTATATCTGTACAGTATTGATGTACCACTTGTTTTATTATAGAAATTTCTCAAATTACACACTATTGCATAACTGCCAAAACCACTGAGAAGCAAACCAGTGACAATGAAGTAAGCTGGTACAAATATTTTTGTGGCAACTCGTGCTACCCGGGCAACTTCCATGAGGGGGTCTTGTCCATGCCTGTGAATTGTTACATAATGTCTCTCTCAATCATGGCCAAAGTAAGCTACATAAAATAATTTTTCCTGGGATCAGGGAATGCTTTTTAACTATTATAAAGAAAATTTTTGGAGTTCATGCGCACCACAGGGTTGTGTGCATGAAACACTGTAGTTGAGGGATTAGAAATCTTTACCAAAATACTTACAATGGACAAGGTACAATTAATTTAAGTATGGTAATTTTGGATGAAATATATTTTTGAAGATTCATTTACTTTGCACACCTCAATTCTTATTTTCAGATCTCGCCATTTGTGGCACACAACTTCAATACACTGTATTCATTGGAAAACTGGGGAGGTGCCACTTTTGATGTGGCACTTCGGTTCTTGCATGAATGTCCTTGGGAGCGACTGGAATCAATGCGAAAGCTTATCCCCAACATTCCTTTCCAAATGCTCTTAAGAGGAGCCAATGGTGTTGGATATACAAGCTACCCCGATAATGTTGTTTACAAGTAGGTTTGAACAGTTTGTTTGCCTGATATTACACTATGATTTATTTCATAGATATTCTGCATTTAAAAGTATTTAAACGACCCCATTTATAATTGGGTTAAAAAAAAATTTGCATTATTTGCTGTTTGTAAGGCAAAAGGAAAACGGTTTCATTAAAGGAAATACAGAATTTAACTAATATTGAATGTGAAAAAAGTGTTGCAAATGAATTTTTGTATTGCCTAATATTTTACAATTACATCTGCAGGTTCTGTGAGTTGTCTGTAAAATCAGGAATGGATATCTTCAGAGTTTTTGACTCCCTCAATTATCTACCAAACCTTATGCTTGGCGTGGATGCTGTTGGTAATGCAGGTAATGTTCATACCTGTCCGTTATTACCAATCTATCTAAAGGAACCGGTGTCCAACTCCAGGACTGCCTTTTACCTGTAAGGTACATGGTGCCATTTCTTCAGGTTTCAATGTCTTTAATATACTTGGTTTCAAAGTTGTGAACAAAAGTGGCTTTACCACTGCTCCCAGTCATTTAAGATCTTTTGGTCATTTGCTTCAAACAAGTACAGTAGTGTACTGTCAATGTCATGACTGACGTCCAAGTAACGCTTGTGCACCTTGAAAGTACAGTATTCAGCATGAGCAAACAAGTTTATACTGGACCCTCTCCACATTAAATAATGTACATATACATTAAAAAGTTATTCACTGTGGTATTTGATATAATGTTGAATTTAGTTCCTTTATTTCAACAGAGCATGCTACTATAAATGGAATAGTCAATTGGAAAATGTTCAAAGTTGACTGCCCTAAGGCTTTGTATTGACATGTTAATTGCTATACATGCCAAGATTTAAAAGATTGAACAGCAGTATTAGCAAACTTGCAGAAAATCTTGACTATTTTAGCATTCTAATCCTGCTAAAGTGTCTTCAATCTCAAAATTATAGAAAATAACTTAATTCCCCTTCTCTCTGCTTCGAGTATCTTGTTGAAATTTTAAGGGAAGAATTCCATATAATATATACTTCATAATCTGAATTATATAGGGACCACAACCCATTAGTTTTTTATTGGGTGTCCAAAATTGGAAATTTCAAATTCGGCTCTTTCAACAAATCTCGGGAAACCGAATTCCTATTCTGGTTAAAAGGTAAAAGAACTAACATGAATTTTAGTATTACTGGGAGATTTGGGTTGCCGAAATGAGATTTGCTGAGCCCTTACAGTACTGAATAAGTGTTGGAAATATAAGTAATATCGGATTGAAACTTTTCCCGTTAACATTTTTTGTACGACCTGAACTGGCCTTTACTTTTGTTGAAAGATTTTCTATTGACAATTAAATATTCAGTGATTCATTAACAGCCTTGAAAGAGTTAAAACTGCACTAATGCACATGCATACTGACCATAAGGGTCAAGGGTCTAGCCTGGCCCTGGGCTTGGCTTGGAGCAAGTTCCTCTCGGAACTCCATTCGGTTACAGGGTCTAGATATCAGTCGCCATTATCCATGTCTCATTCGCAGCCTTGAACACTTTTCAGTGTAAATTTAATTTAATATCTTTGCCCTATCTATCTACCCTATGCCCTGAAATAGTCTCAAGATAACCATCTCAAGATATCTTGTCTAGCCAGACTACTCTTACCTTAATTCACTTGACCCTTGCCATCACTCTTGAGGGTCACCATCTCTCGCGGCCATGATGGGTCTGTAATGTCTTTTCTACATTAAAAGAAGCGGTATTTAAAGAAATTAATACCCGAATTTACCTGATATTATATACATTTCCAGAGTATCAAGTGAATTGCTTTTTGACTTAACAAATATAGATAATAATTTTAATTGTTTGTTGTAGTTAGGGTAAGTTTTTTTTTTTTTTTTTTACCGTCATTGTAATGAAAATATGGAATACATATTAATTTTTTACCTATCTTTCTACCTTTGGTGGGAACAATGTTCTAGTGTACTGCAGCCATAGGGTTAAAAAGTTGCACTAACTTGACTATTAGTAAATAATGTATTTCGTACAAAGTTTTACATTGTAAGCTTTGTAAATCATGCATGAACTGACTCGGTTTACTAAGTGAATAGCAAAACATTCAATTTATATATCTTGTTCCTATTAGTATGTATTCTTGCATACATACTAATAGGAAATAAATATATGCACAAATAAATGGCCCTTATACATGTGGGCTTCTGTTTTAAGTATACTAATATAGTACTGTACAGTACATGTATTTTAATTATGGTATTGCACAGTTGAAGTATGTACTGTTCCATACAGATATTTGTATAAAGTTAATGTCTCGTTACCACAGGTGGTGTTATCGAAGCTGCGATCTCATATTCTGGCGACATCTCTGACCCCAGCAAGAAAAAGTACACTTTGGACTACTACATGAAGTTAGCCGATGAACTAGTTAAAGCCGGGACACACATTCTTTGTATCAAGGTATGAGAGCAGGAATTCCACAAGTCATTGTTTAGTATAGAAAATGCATAATTAAAATAGGTGAGCTTGTAAGGCATGCACAGTTTAGTTTCCACTGTGGTAACTGTGGAAGTAAAATTCATGACACACTTCTGGTTTGGGAGCAAGCCCCAGCCTTCAAACTAGCTGCTTGTGGCCCCTTGTTCCATATTTTTTTCTCCCTCCCGAGGCTGTTACTTGAGGAACCGGCTTTGACTCCTGTTGGTAGACTTGTTACCAATTTAAATATTGCTATGATAGAACTGTCCCATTGTTGTGCATGATTTGAATGATCCATATAATTACCAAAAGCCATTTTGAAATGCGTAAAGAAAGTGCAGTACAGGATAAAAGTTCCATTGTACTGCATTATATAACAAACTGTACTGTATATAATGCATTAGGTTTGTAACGGTGGCGAGTGCAGAACACTAAGCATAACTTTACTAGGAAATAAGCTCATTTTATAATGGAATAAGACTAGAATAGCTGATGACTTCAAATGAAGTTAATAAAGCACTCGGATCATTGGTGTCCCCCACCACTAGTTTTGATTGTTATAGAATGAGTAAAAAAAAATTATGTTCAGTACCCACATTATGTAATTCTAAGGCTTTGTGTACCTGTGGCTGGCTTTGGGTAATTCAAGGGCCCCATTTGAATAGTCAAGTATATGTGCCATATGATTAACATGATGGGTGTTGCAAGAATAATCACAAAAACATGATTCAGTTATGCACAAGAATGCACGTAGGAAAATTAAATGGAAAAATTCTGAACATTTTAGTGTTTCAACACAATGAAAATATTCCTTGATAGTGTCGAAACACGTAAAATTCAGAATTTTTTATTTTAAATTTCCCAAGTGGGTGAAGAGTGAAATTTCCACAAGGAAAGTTTCCTTGTGCAATGGAGTGCTAGAGATGTTGGTATTTTAAAACAAGTTGCCACTTGTCTTGAACCAGCAATTCATGGCCTGGTGTAGCTGGGCCCAGGAGACTCGTGTCTTGCTAATGAACTGTCCATTCCACTTGGTTAGTTCACTGTTTATGCAACTGGTAAAGTAGAATAGATTCATGTGACGATATAAGTGATTATTGCATGCAGTACAGTATGTATGAAATATTAGCTTCATGCCTCATGACCTAAACTGAGTTAATGTAAACCATAAGCTTATTGGATATGTTTAGAATTTTACTAGCTAGTATGAGATGTTATGTGCACTGAAAGTGTTATACACTAAACGTTTGACCTATAGTCACACACCATCTCGATGGTTTTAGGTACCTTGCAACATTTGAATCACCTGCAGGTGCAAGGGGTTCCCAGCTGATGCCTAAAGCCTCCAGTAAATATATGCCATATTGAAAAGAAGGGGCCCAAAAGCAGCTGCTTAGAGATTTGGGGCTGTAGCTCCAAACCCAGTAGTGCGGCAGTTTCAAGAATTCGATATACAGTACATGACTAAATTAATATCTAACTGCATACAAATGATCTTGTGACTGATGATTCTGATAACCCAGCTAAATGGCCCCGTCGTGTCTCTAAACACGGTGTGATGACCTCGTCAAGAATTCATTGGCAACTTCTTGTACATGGGGGGTGGGACAGTTTCCTGGGACATTGTGTTAAGATCTGTAACATCGGTCAAAAGATGCTGGATGAGGATAGTAAAGTGTTAATAAATTTGTGGTGGTAAATATTTAGAGAGGGGAGGGGGATCTGATGTGGCTGTTATGCTGGAGTGTAATGGAGGCGCTGTGACTGGGAGTGTTTAAAGCATCTGTTCTTCCTAATAGTGTGTGTTTTTTTAGGCTGATGGTTTTCCCAGCCCTGTGTAAGTGTGAAATGAGGTGGTGATTTTATATTTTTAATTGTATAGGACATGGCTGGGCTGTTGAAACCACGAGCAGCCAAGATGCTCATATCTGCCTTAAGGGACCGTTATCCTGATCTGCCCATCCATGTTCACACCCATGATACTTCTGGTGCTGGTAAGACTCTCATAATCTGGATTTAAAATAGTATGAATTATTTTTTTATTCTACTTTCCATTATTACTCAAGGCAAGGTTCACTTGTTTGATTAAATTACAGTACTGTAGTTGGAAACTGCACATCTGGTGTGGTTATGGGGGTTTCTTTTTTTTTTTCAAAATATTATTAATTCTAATCTGCTGCTAAAAATTAAATTTGCTCCTGAGGATTAGGAATTAACTGACTGTTAAGAAGACTTGTAGATTTATGTATATTTTATAGGTGTGGCATCAATGTTAGAATGTGCTTATGCTGATGCCGATGCTGTTGATGTTGCTGTCGATTCCATGTCCGGAATGACTTCTCAGCCCTCTATGGGTGCCATTGTTGCCAGCTTGATGGGACATGATCTCGACACTGGAATCCATTTAAATAACATCAGTCAGTACTCTGCATTCTGGGAACAAACTCGTACACTTTATGCTCCATTTGAATGTGCAGTGACCATGAAGTCTGGCAATGCTGATGTTTATCAGAATGAAATTCCTGGTGGCCAGTATACCAACCTCCAGTTCCAGGTAAACTATTAGATACGGTAATTTAATAAATGATGTATACTATTTTTTCATAGACCTGTATATCTTATTTTCCAGGATCTTTAGCTGTTAATATATTATAGACCATTTTCAAAATGTCTCTACATCTTTAATACCTAATTAAAGCCCATTAGTCTCACTCCACTGTACAGTATATAAATTAAAAATGTCAATGACCCACTGGTGGTGTGCTGCAACCCACACTGACCAAGCAGTACCTTCATCACTTTCATAAAGAGCTGCTATTTTGCTCCCCAAATTCTAAGAGTGAGGAAAGTTCACATGAAAGAGTTGCTGCAAGTGTTGGTGGTGGAAGAGTTGAACTGTTTTCCTTGACTTTCCATCCCTAGCTGTTAGTACATCTCTGTATGATTGTCTATTCCTTCATACCTTGTGCTGTTAACTCGCACATTTACCACTACTGACACTCCTAGTATTTTATCACTTGGAAATGAAACTGCACAAGTATAATTTTTTTTTACTCATTGCTGATGTAGTAAACTGATTTGAACATAATTAATGTACCTATTCACGCTAGAGATAAGATAACATGCCATTATTCACACAAGTGTTTGAAACAGGTGAAGAGGACAAACTAATGTTCCCATGAAGTGGGAGACTCCGTGCACAATTGTCCTTGTGAACTAATGTTCATGTTGAAAATTTAAAGTCTTAAGGTTAAGTACTGTTGGTTTAACCAGTAGCAGGATTGGTGTGCATATTGACACAGCTTTACCCTTGTTTTGTGGGACCTATATAGTCATTGGGCTTCTTATATTTGACTAATAATTTAATTATTACAGTGACCCATTAAATTTCCTACTAGAGATCTGGGATACTGCTGGGGTAAGCCTAGCCATAGTCTAATGTTAGTTCTAGATGTGAAGCAATCCTAGGATTGCTAACCACCATACATCACTACCCATCATGCTGGTGTCCCTACTACACTACAGAGGCTAAATGAATGACTAATAATGTTAGAGGTATGTGAAAGGGGAAAGGTTGAAATCCCTTCCCTAGAATTTCCCCTTTATGTAAAGTTACTTTAGATAAGCTCAAGTATTAAGCTTATAGTAAGCAATACAGTCTCCGTGGCATAGTGGCAAGACGCTCGCCTGGCGTTCCGCGAGTGCTTTGTCCTGGGTTCGTATCCTGGCCGAGGAGGATTTACTGGGTGCAAATCCTTAACTGTAGCCTCTGTTTAACTCAACAGTAAAATGGGTACTTGGTTGTAAAAACAATTCTTCGCAGGGGGAGGGGGGGGGGGTTCGTATTCCAGGGAATATAGGATTAAGGACTCGCTCAAAATGCTACGCGTACTAGTGGCTGTACAAGAATTTAAGAACTCTTGTACTTACATATATAAATAAAAAAAAAGTGAGGTAAACTTTATTAAACTATTAATGTACAGTACTAAACCTTAATGTGACGATGTGCAACTTGTATTTCACTTGGTCTTGCTCCCTTAAATTTAGCAAGCTATATCTGTACTTTGCAGGCATTCTCTCTTGGACTGGGTGATCAGTTTGAGGCAGTGAAGGCGGCATATCGAGAAGCTAACTACCTTCTTGGAGATTTGATTAAGGTGAAGCCATGAATTTCTGCCCTTCGTAACTTTTTAATACAATGAAATACCATTTGAATGTCTTGTAATATTTACTGTAAGTATTTGTATCAAGAACAAATTTATCATTAATAAATGATCTTTAAAGAATATAGGTAATTAGAGGTAATTAGATTCATTATGAGCTGGGAAGATGGGACGACACAAGTGTAGTGCTCGTCCTGTAACTACACTTGGGTAATTACTACCTGATTTCCAACTTAAATGGGATGGAGAAGTGTAAATATCTGAAAAGTAATATAGTAAAAGTTTCGTTACTAAAGATTGAACACTAAAAGTATCACTTGGCAATTGTCATTCCCAATAAACCGTTTGATTCGAGGATAAAGTAGGACCACACTTGAGCAGTCACATCAGCACCCCACAGCTTCATAAAGGCTCAAATTGGTCATGAATTTTTCAGCCCAGTGGAGGTGCATGGAAAATTCCTTTGAGGCTGAGATTGCTCCTACATTTTGCTCATTATTCCATACATTGAGAAAATCCGTAGAGCTGTAATGAGGGTATTCCCATACTCATGCTCTTGGTGACTAGACCAAGACATGGTCGTGGTCTAGTTCGAGGATTGCAACTTGGCGTTCTACTGCACTCCAGAGGAGAGAGCCAGAGTGCATGGGAAAATTTTGTGAAAATCCTGTTCTGGCTTCAGTAGAAGCCTTGGGAAATCCTTGTGTTCAGTAGAACGCCAGGTTGCAATCCTTGTACCATGTTGTGGTCTAGTCACTAAGAGCATGTGTATGGGAATACTCGCCGCATAGGTTTGGTCCCTCGTCATGGTGCCCACGAATTTTCTCATTGATGCAGTCATGTTAATGTGATTAATGTGTTTTCCATAAATCTTTCTTTGGTTTTGTGGCTGCTTGTATCAGCGGATATATACAGGGTAATTGCTGCTGCTGCTATTGCTTTTCAAATGATGGGTAATATCCTTGGGGGGAAGGGAATATATATCCCATTTTTTTCTTATGCCGACAACAGTGATGTCGGAATTCGTAACCTCCTGTGTATGTCTACAATTGTCATTTATTTATCCATGGGAACAGTAGGATCTTGCCTTTGCCTTGTTTAGAAATAATCTTTTCTTCCACACTTGAAGCCTCTCTTTTGCAATTAAGAGATTAGGTGAACTAAATAAATAAAAATTTTAATCTGTAGATTACAGTAGTAAATTTTTATTTTTGTAAAGCTAAGGTGACCATTAGGTGCTGAACTGTTAGCTTAACTTGTCCTGATGAATTTAGTGCTTGAACAGGTAACACCATCATCAAAAGTAGTGGGAGACTTGGCCCAGTTTATGGTACAAAACAAACTCTCGGCTGCTGATGTTGAAGCAGGGGCAGAGAATCTCAGCTTCCCCAAGTCTGTCATTGAATTTATACAAGGATATCTGGGCGAGCCTTACGGGGGATTCCCTGAACCACTTCGTACTAAAGTAAGTAAACGGTACTAGTTTCTAGCTACTGCATGTACTTAAACGGTTGCTTCAGGTCTTGAGGTTCGATAATTGTTGTCAAGGGTACTTCTGTTAGATGTAACATTAATAGTTTTAATTGCAGATTTATTGAGGTTAAAAGATTGTGTATAGTTCATACAAACTTGCACAATGCAGAGTAATTAAGATGCATCTTAAGCCAATACTTAAAACTAGTAAATTTGCATCTTAGATTTTAAGAAATTTTGGAATTTAGTGAAGATATTTAGATTAAATAAGCTGAATAATTGTATAATATTGTTATACAGCACCAATATTCTAATATATATTGTTACTTAATATTGTCAGATGTTGAAGGGCCTACCAAAAGTGAAGGGACGTCCTGGAGCAACAATGACTCCCATGGACTTCACTGCAATAAAGTCCAACCTTACTGAGGAACATGGACACCGTATTTCAGATTATGATGTCCTGAGTCATGCTATGTATCCTAAGGTGGGCATGGATTGAATTTACTAAATTTGTTCTAATTCTTTTTAACTGTTCAGATTTTAGAATGGAAGGCATGAAAATTGTATAGCTTAGAAGTAAAATTTACTTTGATGTCTAAAATCAAATTGCTATGTGAGTTTAAAGTAATGTAATGTAGACATGTTGATCAGTTAGTGGTAAACAAGGCTTGTGTGTGTACCAAACATCAGTTTTCCCAGTTAATTTAAATTGTCATAATAAAATAGTTCAGCTTCAGATCATTGCTAATATTTTGTATGTAGATATATAGGGAACTCGGTTAAGGTGTTAATTTTTGTGTAATTTTTTTAGCTTTTTTTCATTTGCTAGTTTCTGAAATTCTGTACTTCTTAAACTCGGTGATTTGTAAGAACTATGTAACCTACTGAAATGTTTGTATTTTCTAATTTTACTTTGTAACAATGAATTGGTAACTGTATCATAGCTAGAATATGTAAACACTGTACCCCCATTACTCACTTTCTAAGTAATAAATGAGGGCAGTAATCAGAGGCAATATATTGGACTAGAGAAATGTCATGGAGTACCATTGTTTAGTTCTTGCACTGGTAATGTTCATTGTCTACATAAACGACCTGCCAGAAGGAATACAGAATATGAACATGTTTGCTGATGATGCTAAGATACTAAAGATGAAGAACTTGGACGACTGTCATGCCCTTAAAGAAAACCTGGACAAAATAAGTGTAAGGAGCAGTACTTCGCAAATAAATTTGTGAATAAATGTCCTATTATGGAATGTGGAATAGAAGAGACCTCATGCAACTTACAAATTGTGTGAAAATGTTTAAAAACAGAAAAATCTAGGTGGTTAGATGGAAAACAATCACCCAAGGACCACATAAAGAACATTGTGTGAGGAGCCTATGCTATGCTTTACAATTTCAAAATTGCTGCTCAATACATGGATACAGAGACTGTTTTGAAGTTAAAAAACAGAAGAGAAACAAAACTTAAGAGAAGCTGGAGGCATTACATATGCCAAAGATAGATGGAAATAGTATTAGTATTGTATGATCAAAATAATGATCTATCTTGAGGTTATCTTGATTTCGGGGCTTTTAGTCCCCCCGCGGCCCGGTCCTCAACCAGGCCTCCACCCCCAGGAAGCAGCCCGTGACAGCTGACTAACACCCAGGTACCTATTATACTGCTAGGTAACAGGGGCATAGGGTGAAAGAAACTCTGCCCATCGTTTCTCGCCGGCGCCTGGGATCAAACCCAGGACCACAGGATCCCAGGATCACGAGACCAGTGTGCTGTCTGCTCGGCCAACCGGCTCTAAACATTATTGCCAACAGCATTTGGTGTTCCCAGGCGGTCACCCATCCAAGTACTAACCTTAACCCAACGTTGCTTATGGCCGTTGGCGAATGAGAATGATGAATACAGTTTCCTTGTAAAATGTAAAAGTGCATTGCATTTGATATTTTCAAAAGTTCTCAATTTTACTGTATTACTAAAGTTATTTCATCCGCAGGTGACAGAAGATTTCCTCTTCTTCCGGGAAAAGTACGGCCCTGTTGATAAGCTCGACACCCGAATCTTTCTTACTGGCCCAAAGGTATTAAGATTATTTTTACTTTAATGACTATTCATATGTGAAATTAGATTTTTTTTATGGCTACTTTGGCTTATTTACAAAGTACGTATCGTCTTCCAACATTGTTGCTCTTTTTTTTATGGCGCTCTTTCGTTTTGTAGTGTAATTTGACTGCATTTCATGTAGTTTGTCTTGATATTTTAGTTTCTCCACAACAGGCACTAGAACGTGCCTGCATTAAATAATGTAGCCCATTTAAAGACCTGATTTACATCTATTTGGAGATTTGCTGTATCCTCTACATTGTCTATTTACAAAGCCTAGTGTAATTGGCAAAGGAGATGTACTGTAGTTGGCGCCCTAATTGACCTGATATGAGGATGGGGGAAAGCACTGTAGCAAGCACTGTATCCTGGGGGACTGAGCTTAACATGGTTGGTAATCTGGATTTTACTTTGTTGGTTATTATACACTAGGTTCTGTTCATTAGGAAATTAAATATCCATCTTCCTACTTTGCTAGTAATACCTCTTGTGCACAGTATTGACATGGTCACACTTGTTGAAAGCTTTCATAAAATCTGTGTGTATTGCATCAGCATTTTGGTGGCCTTCCACTGCATTTTGGTTGCAGTGGAAGGCAATGTCATAATGATCAAGCAGTCGAGAGGCATGAGCACCCTGTTCTGAGCATATGTTTATTCAGGGTTATGTAGACAGCGATTATGATTGTGACGTTAGGTATTGATCTGTATTTTCAGCATTGTATTTACTACCTCCTTTGTGGAGTGGCATATCCCTGCTGTTTAGGTATATCAAGGTTCAGTCTCCACTTGAAGAAAATTATAATGGTACTGTATTTAGATTATAGGTAAACATCTTGTTGACCTTGCAACAAGCTGTTGACAAGTGATGTCCTCCACTTCCTTTTTATTGGCAAGAATTACAGTACATGTGGCAAAATTTTACCAATGCAGTACTTATTTTCACATTTGTAGTAGCAACAGCTTTTGTAAATACTAGTGACCTCGTTTTTTTCTTGGAATGGATGTTTCCAGTGGCAGACTTGCAATTTGTGGGGCTCTGAAGCTTGAGCTCTTATTGGGGGGGGGGGGGTGTAAGATGGGGGTCCCATCTTAAAAAGTCTGGGTAACCACTGTGTTTGTCTATGGGGTTGTTCTACAGATCTCCTAAATTTTTATAATTTAACCACCACTACTTGAAATTTGATTAATTTTGAGATGTAGACCCAAAGTATTTAAGCAATGTGGTCTAAAGTTGCTTTTGGAGCCCCTTGAAACTTTACTTTCTGAAACTTTACTCATAGTAGTGCCCCTGGAAATAGTCACTGCATTAACCTATTATCCATTTTAATTATGAAGACAATTTAAAATAGAGAAGTTTAAACAAATCAGTGATGCAAACAGCCACAAATGGCAAGCAATTCAACCCATCCTCCTGTTTTGGTAGTACAGTACTTAATGTTGAGGACCATCGTACATATATTGATGTAAAAGGTAATTAGAAAGTAGAAATCGGTACTATTGAATTTGGCCAAACCGGAAAAGGTTTTGTATTTGTTGCAAGCTAACATAACTTTTTAAGGCGTAATATAGTACATATATGCACCATATTAGACATAGGAATATTGAACTTTTATGGCTTTGCTTTAGTCCAAAAAAAAAAAAAAAAAAAAAAATTAAATACTGTAGTACTAAATTCTATCTAATTGCCATAGTTACAAAAAGTACTATATAAACAGGATGGGTTGACAATATTGTAATGTACTGACTTTACTATATACTTTAATGTCTTTTACTGTAATAAATGAATATTGTTCATTTGGCGGCAATTTAAAATTTTCTGTACCATTTTTCGAAGACCCAATCAGCTCATCAACAGTGGCGGTGTGTATATAAATGTTAGCCACTGAATATTGGCAATACTGTAGTTATTTAAATTATAGATTTTCTTAAATTCAACATTTTATTGTGATGTTGAGCACGAGTCCATCCTAGCTGTGGCTGAGAAGAAATGCTCGTCACTGGACTATTTAAGAGTGGGCAGTTAAGTTGTACACGAGTTGAGCATGTACCTGTATATAGATATATGGTATAGCAAGACTCAAGATTTGCTAGTCTAGTCCTACAAATATTGTTCCATTGTTGGGGGCAAGGAGCCTGTTAAACTTAGAGGTCTTCCTAGGCCAATGACTGACCTTTTCCAGGATGCAACTAACAAGTTGCCAAACTCTGAAATGCCTTTTTATTGCTAGTGAAATGGCAGTATCATATGCAAGGAAATTTGCTTAAACATCTACACCTTGTCTATCAAATCTGGCACCTTTTGGTTGAGAGCCAACAAGTTTGAAATTGTATAACAATTCATGGCCAGATTCTGTAGATTAGTTTCTTGTTGGGTTTCAGATACTTTGATGGCAGTTTGGTAATTTTTATGGAGCTTATTCTTTAAAATGTTTCTAGGTTGGTGAAGAATTTGAAGTACAGATCGAGAAAGGAAAGACCTTGCATATCAAGACTCTGGCTGTGTCTGAAGACCTTAATGTAAATGGTGAACGAGAAGTGTTTTTTGAGCTGAATGGGCAACTTCGATCAGTAATGGTTCGTGACCAAGAAGCTGTGAAGGTAAGCTTTACAGGAGAGGAAACATATTGCTAGATTTTAGTATTTGCAAAATATTGAAGATAAATAAAGTTGTATGAAAAGTACAGCCATATAGGCTTTTGTAATATTGGGAGAGTTGCCCATCCCACATGTTGGGACTGCATGAACACACCAACTGTATTTACATAATTAATATCAAGTGGTAGTTTAGTCTCATGAATTTGCTAACAGTATTTTTTTTTTATTTTTGATCATTTTAATTTTTCTTGAGTGTATAAAATATGTAATATCTCCAGAACAGCTAATTCATTAGTCCTATTAGAAAGCCTTGCTTTACATTTGTTAATTGGGCTATCACATGTATAATTAATTTGTTGCAAATTTGCTACTTAATCAGGAACTACATGTGCATCCAAAAGTAACGCCTGGTGTAAAGGGACAAGTAGGAGCTCCTATGCCCGGCACTGTGGTAGACATCCGTGTGAAAGTTGGCGATGAGGTGAAAAAGGGCTCCGCACTAGTAGTCATCTCGGCTATGAAGATGGAGATGGTTGTTCAAGCCCCATGTGATGGAGTTGTTGATAGTGTTAATATCACAAAGGACATGAAGCTGGAGGGAGACGATTTGGTGCTCACTATTAACCCTAAGTGAGGGATGTATAAATGTTTGTGTATACTATAGTAGATAGAAATAACTATATGGTGATGAGCATATTGAACATTGTCATTAAAAGTTAAATTTTGTTTAACATGTTAAAGCAGTATCAGTGTCTCGAGTATTTTGAGGCTACTTTACAACAGACATTTAAATTACTGTCTATGGTTAATTACAGTAAGACACTTAAATTATGAATTGGTGATAAATTGTAATTTTAACAAGATTTTAAGCTATGTAAATTAAACTTCAATCATTGTTAAAATTTAGTTTCAGTGCAGAACTATATATTTGATAAATTTTTAATTGCACTGAAAAGCAGTAGTTTTTGTTTTTAAATTGTTTTGGTATTTAATCTGTTGATGTTTCAAAGAACTTTAATTTTAATGGGTTATGATAACCCATGCACACGTGTACTTTTTTTTTGTGCTGGCACGTGCACTTCCCTTGCACCCACATCCATGCGTTTAGTCTTTAACTCCATTTGTGAATATTATAAGTGATTACTGGTAGCTGGGAAAAAAAAGTTTGGCAAATAGCTACTTCACACAAAGCTAAAGATGTCACATTTTTATGCATTTTATTAATTTTTTCTTGTCTTCCTTTCATCCCCACAGTTTTAGAAGCGTACATCGGTAGTATTGAATTAATTTATTTAATTTTAAGGAGTCCTCATCAAATTGTTATTGTCTATTAAAGACAACTGTAGATACAATGCTTGACAATGCAAGTGTGACTGGGACAAGCTGCACGCGGCTGCTGACCGTCTTGTAGCTTGTCACGTGTGCTAGTTGGCTATCAGTAAGTCGCTTACTTTTATTATTATAGCAGCTCTGACCTCATTGAATGTAAGATTTATAATAATCATTATTATTATTAATAATAATAATAATAATAGTAGTAATTAATATTATTATAGACTCCTCAGCAATGTGTAAAATTAATTTGGTAAAGAACATTTGCTACTCTTTTTGAAGCTCAAATATGGACAAAGGCTGTGTTTTTTAAAAAGTAAGACATGCTTTATTTTTTATTTTTTTCTAAGCAATACTCGATTGCATTATACCAGAGAAGGTGTTCATTTTAATTTTAAATATCAAACTAAAGTAGGCACCATGTTCCTACTGTGATACATACTTGAGGTTAGAGTTGTAAAAGAAACTTGCTGTAAAACTGCACCCTTGGTTCTGTTTTAATTTGTTCAGTGGTGTGGCTTTGAGGAGTGAAGTTATGGTCGTTCACCTTTGTTAGTGCACATAAAATATACCAAGGCAACAAAATTAATGGTATCTTGCCATTTGAACTGATGTAAAACATCTTTGTGCTGTATAAACCATTTGGACCATGCTGCTTTTCCTCTTAATGTAGAGATAGTTAGCGTCTCGTAACTTCAGTATTGTAATGATTCGTAAAATTGTGAACTGGTTAACAAAATGCATTGATTGTTTAATTCTCAATTTAAGTTTTTAAGAGCCTTGGAATGATCTTCCATGTGGTAAAAAATGTTTTGTATTCAGGAAAGTTATGAGGTCTAACTATGCCGAGGTGTTTACATTCCAACTTTGTGTTGTATAGAATCTTTCTTAAAAGATTTCCTGTGCAAAATAAATTATTTGCTGCTTAGGACTATTAATGCGCTTGCATTAAAGTAAAGCCTTGATTAACTTTTTTTTTCTTTAAAGGCAGTTTCTCAACTTGCCTTTAATGTGGTTCCATTCGGTAGGTAACACTTTGGTTTGGTCAAGATTTTGAGTGCATACACACTCGTCATACAAACACTGAATTTTCTCTACCTACCCCTTTCATAGACGGGGGCCATTACTGCACATTTTGCAGTACATAATTCTTGTACTATTTTTGCTTGCACATTATCAAGGTTTGCATTAATTTTGTCATTGTCCAGTCTGTTACAATAATTTATAATTTTATAAGTATTTGTTTTGTATTACAAACTACTGTGCATAACTATTCAATCTAAAAAGCCTGTAGACCTTGGAGAGGTAGCTTCTCTGTAAACTTGTCTTCCTGGAGCAATTAATGACAGGCTTATGTGATATGTAAACTACATTAGACACAAATTGGAAATTTAAGTTGTAGTTATATTACTGTCTTAGGTTAGGAATATATTACAGAAATGACTATTATGCTATAAACAGAGGGTTCAGGTTCAGATGGTTTTACTTCCTTGTAATGTAATTATGCCTTTTTTTGTATGGACTATTATTATTTAAATTGCAACATTTGAGGACATGTACCCTTTTTAATAATTTCTGCAACTTGTTGGTGCCAGGAAGGCTGTCGATACTGAGACACAGATGACTGTCGATACCAGAAAAATACACCTGTTGATACCGAGATACACAGATGGCTGTCGATACAGAGCTATATATAGCTCTATACTGATATATCTGTATCAAGAGCTATCGACATATCAATAGCTGTCGATACCAGAAAAATACAGCTGTCGATACTGACAGATGGCTGTCGATACACACACACAGATGGCTGTCGATACCAAGAATCTGATAGCTATTGATATCGGTATCAATAGCTCGGTATCATGAATTATCAATAGCTGCCAATACAGTGCTAGATAGCTCTGTACTGATATCTCGGTATCAAGAGCAATCGATATATCAATAGCTGTCGATACCGACACACACTGATGGCTGTCGATACCAGAAAATTACAACTGTCGATACTGAGACAAATAGCTGTTGTTACCGAGACACACTGATGGCTGTCGATACAGAGCTATATAGCTCTATACTGAGATATCTTGGTATCAAGAGCTATCAATATATCAATAGCTGTCAGTACAGACACACTAATGGCTGTCAATACCAGAAAAATACAGCTGTCAATACTGAGAGATGGCTGTCGATACAGAGACATACAAATGGCTGTTGATACCAAGACACACTGATGGCTGTCGATACCAGCAAAATACACCAGTCGATACAGACACACAGATGGCTGTCGATACCGACACACACACAGATGGTGGTCAATACAGACACACTGATGGCTGTCGATACTAGAAAAATACAGCTGTTGACAGAGGGAGATGCCTGTCTACACCGAGAGACACAGATGGCTGTCGATACCGAGACACAGATGGCTGTCAATACCGAGACCTCGGTATCACGAGCTATCAATATCTGTTGATACCGTGCTAGATGGCTCTATATTGATATCTTGGTATCAAGAGCTATTGATATACAATAGCTGTCAATACCAGGAGAAATATAGATAGCTGTCAATACCTAGAGATAAATAGCTGTTGATGCCGAGATATTGATATCTTTTGGTATTGAGAGCTATCGATAACTCTCGATACCACGAGAAATATATAGCTGTCGATATCAAAGAGATAGCTCTCGATACAGAGCTAGATAGGTCTATACTGAGATATCAATAGATATGTCTTGGTATTGAAAGCTATCTATATATCGATAGCTCTTGATATTGATAGATAGCTCTCATTGCCGAGAAATATCGATATATCTGTAGTTATATATCTAGCTCTGTATAGCTCGAGCTCTCGTTACCAAGGTATCGGTAGCTCTCGTTACCGAGGTATCGGTAGCTCTCGTTACCGAGGTATCGGTAGCTCTCGTTACCGAGGTATCGGTAGCTCTCGTTACCGAGGTATCGGTAGCTCTCGTTACCGAGGTATCGGTAGCTCTCGTTACCGAGGTATCGGTAGCTCTCGTTACAGAGGTATCGGTAGCTCTCGTTACAGAGGTATCGGTAGCTCTCGTTACCGAGGTATCGGTAGCTCTCGTTACCGAGGTATCGGTAGCTCTCGTTACCGAGGTATCGGTAGCTCTCGTTACCGAGGTATCGGTAGCTCTCGTTACCGAGGTATCGGTAGCTCTCGTTACCGAGGTATCGGTAGCTCTCGATCTCTTATGGACAAATGCATGCCCCAAATTTGAGGTTATAGCTTTATAGATAAAATTTCAAACCATCACATTTCACTTGCCAAAGATTGTTGCCCCCTTCCCCCAAAATAAAATTCTGGATTGCAAAAATAAAAAAAGCACAATATACAAAGTCTTAATTTGATGTAGAATTAACATTACTTCTGGATAATGTTGCTATTGGCAAGTACATATGTCAGTAAGGGCAGGGATACTAATAAAATTTCTTGTAAAGGTACCAAAACTTTAAACATTAGTGCAGAATTAAATGTTAAGATAAATTTCAGCAATAACCGCTAATTCCATGTTGTAATTTTGCAATATAAATGTTATAATACAATCACGACTTGGATGCAAATTTGATTTGGATCTAATTTGGCACATGAATGAAAACAGCATTATTAAATACATATTTTTAACAAGTATATAATTCACATTGGGCTTTAGTCGATTATAAAGATTACAAGAAGGCTCAAAACTTTATTTTAGAAGTCACACCGTCTTGCAAATTATCTGAATCCAAATGAAAGTTACACTGACATGTATGCACAATTTTCAAATACTGTAATTTTGAAGATGCTTACATGTTTATTCATAATTTATCTATATTACAAGTGTCATTTGTGAAGTTGCTGTTCTCTGACTAATTTTAATAAAATATATATCCACATACAGTATATTGCAAATGCATAATCTAAGGTATTCTTTCCTTTAATAAAGAAAGTTGATGACAGGCATGACAATGCTTTGCAGTTTTGTTGGCTTCTCGAATTTGTAAAAAAAATAGATTTAACCATTCACCGGCAACTGCATTATGCAAGATTGCAGATGCCTCTACCCATGAAAGTTGAAAATGGGGTTATGATAATTATGCAGTTATAAGTTCATGAATTAATAATAATTCTCTGAATTTAGATGTACTTTGTAAAGTCATACATACTACAACTAGATACAAACTTGACCAAACCACACACTAGAAAGTGAAGGAACAACAACGTTTCGGTCCGTCCTGGACTATTCTCAATCGATTTGAGAATGGTCCAGGAAGGACCGAAAAGTCGTCACTCCCTTCACTTTCTAGTGTGTGGTTTGGTCAACATATTTCAGCCACGTTATTGTGACTCCTCGTCTGCATACAGATACAAACTTGATTGAAGAATTAAATCTTGGCATGCATTTTAGGTCATGTGATATATCTAGGTTACTTGGAGAAGCAAGGTGATCTAAAATGTCTTATAGCTTTATAAGTAAGAGCTAAGTTGTTAGTTATATGGAAGCATTGGCCCAATTCCTTTCTGCTACTTGGGGTCCTAGACATTGATGACCTAAAATACAACCATAGCAATGAACTTTGAGTATTTGCCATTTTCAGAGCCTTAACAATGTCATAAAATATATAACGCAACTTTCTAACTTTTGAAACTGGTACTGCTAATAAAATTGTACATTAAATTCAATCACAATTGAAATATTTGCAATCTTTCTAAAACAAATTTATTACAATGTCAGGGATTTTCTTTTACTTAGCATCAATTTTCCGTTTGAAATGTTGCAGCTTCAACATCCTCATAACCTTGTAATACAATAAAGTATGAAAATTTATCAAAATACAATGTACTGCTCCAGTCAAGAAAAGGTAATTGTGGAAAGAAGGTGCCAAACCTGGAAGACACTTTAGCTCCAGTCAAGAAAAACAAATATTAAAGATCAAAACTTCAAACATAGATTTTGTTTATAGGCATTCCTCATACAAAATTGTCAAAATGCTAGACTAAATGGAGCAAAGTGGGGAAAAAACTATCACAGATAAACCAACAGTGTGAGGAACATCAGTTCAAACATACTTCTGGCAATATTTCTTTGTAAAATTAAATGTTTCATCTCGAACATTAATTCAGCTACAGAGTAAATGAAAACTTTGCAGTTTTCTTCTCACATTGGATAGACAAATTGACAGGCCATTTAAGGTCCTCGCTGAAAACGCGCCTCGGTTGACTCGTTATCATCAAGGGGTTCAGTACCATCCAAAGCACCTATTTTCCCACTTTAATTAAATGTTTATTTCTGGACTATTCAAAAGTCCATCATACAGAATATTGAAAAAATTACATAAAAATACTCAATTATTTTCAAGACTTGATATAGAAGGAAAACACACATTTTGATGCTTTAGATATATAAAATAGTTTCATATACAAATTTTTGTTCTCATACTTTTGTAAGGCATAAACAACTATCTCTACATTAAATGCAAATCCAATGAGGAGGTTCATGTTAAAGACACCATAGCACCTGATGCATTCAGTGTTATTTTTATGTTGACCAAACCACACACTAGAAAGTGAAGGGACGACGACGTTTCGGTCTGTCCTGGACCCTTCTCAAGTCAATTGTGATGAGGGAAGGAGGTGAAGACAATAAATAGGCAAGAGAGAAGTTAGGAGAAGGAAATCTTAGAGGAAGAAAAAGCAAGGCAAAAGGTATGAAAGGTAAGGTGTAATAAAGGGGGTAATAAAAGTAATAAGAAAGCGATCGTAAGAGAAAACAAGGGAAAGAAAAAGAAAGATAAATGGAAGGGTAAGCTTATGTTAGGTCACGTTTGTTTGTTTGTTTTTATGTTGTTTTATGTATCGGTAGCTCTCGTTACCGAGGTATCGGTAGCTCTCGTTACCGAGGTATCGGTAGCTCTCGTTACCGAGGTATCGGTAGCTCTCGTTACCGAGGTATCGGTAGCTCTCGTTACCGAGGTATCGGTAGCTCTCGTTACCGAGGTATCGGTAGCTCTCGTTACCGAGGTATCGGTAGCTCTCGTTACCGAGGTATCGGTAGCTCTCGTTACCGAGGTATCGGTAGCTCGTTCGTACGAGGTATCGGTAGCTCTCGAGGTATCGGTAGCTCTCGTTACCGAGGTATCGGTAGCTCTCGTTACCGAGGTATCGGTAGCTCTCGTTACCGAGGTATCGGTAGCTCTCGCGAGGTATCGGTAGCTCTCGTTACCGAGGTATCGGTAGCTCTCGTTACCGAGGTATCGGTAGCTCTCGTTACCGAGGTATCGGTAGCTCTCGTTACCGAGGTATCGGTAGCTCTCGTTACCGAGGTATCGGTAGCTCTCGTTACCGAGGTATCGGTAGCTCTCGTTACCGAGGTATCGGTAGCTCTCGTTACCGAGGTATCGGTAGCTCTCGTTACCGAGGTATCGGTAGCTCTCGTTACCGAGGTATCGGTAGCTCTCGTTACCGAGGTATCGGTAGCTCTCGTTACCGAGGTATCGGTAGCTCTCGTTACCGAGGTATCGGTAGCTCTCATTAGTGAGAGCTATCTAGCTATCTATCTCTTATGGACAAATGCATGCCCCAAATTTGAGGTTATAGCTTTATAGATAAAATTTCAAACCATCACATTTCACTTGCCAAAGATTGTTGCCCCCTTCCCCCAAAATAAAATTCTGGATTGCAAAAATAAAAAAAGCACAATATACAAAAAGTCTTAATTTGATGTAGAATTAACATTACTTCTGGATAATGTTGCTATTGGCAAGTACATATGTCAGTAAGGGCAGGGATACTAATAAAATTTCTTGTAAAGGTACCAAAACTTTAAACATTAGTGCAGAATTAAATGTTAAGATAAATTTCAGCAATAACCGCTAATTCCATGTTGTAATTTTGCAATATAAATGTTATAATACAATCACGACTTGGATGCAAATTTGATTTGGATCTAATTTGGCACATGAATGAAAACAGCATTATTAAATACATATTTTTAACAAGTATATAATTCACATTGGGCTTTAGTCGATTATAAAGATTACAAGAAGGCTCAAAACTTTATTTTAGAAGTCACACCGTCTTGCAAATTATCTGAATCCAAATGAAAGTTACACTGACATGTATGCACAATTTTCAAATACTGTAATTTTGAAGATGCTTACATGTTTATTCATAATTTATCTATATTACAAGTGTCATTTGTGAAGTTGCTGTTCTCTGACTAATTTTAATAAAATATATATCCACATACAGTATATTGCAAATGCATAATCTAAGGTATTCTTTCCTTTAATAAAGAAAGTTGATGACAGGCATGACAATGCTTTGCAGTTTTGTTGGCTTCTCGAATTTGTAAAAAAAATAGATTTAACCATTCACCGGCAACTGCATTATGCAAGATTGCAGATGCCTCTACCCATGAAAGTTGAAAATGGGGTTATGATAATTATGCAGTTATAAGTTCATGAATTAATAATAATTCTCTGAATTTAGATGTACTTTGTAAAGTCATACATACTACAACTAGATACAAACTTGACCAAACCACACACTAGAAAGTGAAGGAACAACAACGTTTCGGTCCGTCCTGGACTATTCTCAATCGATTTGAGAATGGTCCAGGAAGGACCGAAAAGTCGTCACTCCCTTCACTTTCTAGTGTGTGGTTTGGTCAACATATTTCAGCCACGTTATTGTGACTCCTCGTCTGCATACAGATACAAACTTGATTGAAGAATTAAATCTTGGCATGCATTTTAGGTCATGTGATATATCTAGGTTACTTGGAGAAGCAAGGTGATCTAAAATGTCTTATAGCTTTATAAGTAAGAGCTAAGTTGTTAGTTATATGGAAGCATTGGCCCAATTCCTTTCTGCTACTTGGGGTCCTAGACATTGATGACCTAAAATACAACCATAGCAATGAACTTTGAGTATTTGCCATTTTCAGAGCCTTAACAATGTCATAAAATATATAACGCAACTTTCTAACTTTTGAAACTGGTACTGCTAATAAAATTGTACATTAAATTCAATCACAATTGAAATATTTGCAATCTTTCTAAAACAAATTTATTACAATGTCAGGGATTTTCTTTTACTTAGCATCAATTTTCCGTTTGAAATGTTGCAGCTTCAACATCCTCATAACCTTGTAATACAATAAAGTATGAAAATTTATCAAAATACAATGTACTGCTCCAGTCAAGAAAAGGTAATTGTGGAAAGAAGGTGCCAAACCTGGAAGACACTTTAGCTCCAGTCAAGAAAAACAAATATTAAAGATCAAAACTTCAAACATAGATTTTGTTTATAGGCATTCCTCATACAAAATTGTCAAAATGCTAGACTAAATGGAGCAAAGTGGGGAAAAAACTATCACAGATAAACCAACAGTGTGAGGAACATCAGTTCAAACATACTTCTGGCAATATTTCTTTGTAAAATTAAATGTTTCATCTCGAACATTAATTCAGCTACAGAGTAAATGAAAACTTTGCAGTTTTCTTCTCACATTGGATAGACAAATTGACAGGCCATTTAAGGTCCTCGCTGAAAACGCGCCTCGGTTGACTCGTTATCATCAAGGGGGTTCAGTACCATCCAAAGCACCTATTTTCCCACTTTAATTAAATTTTTATTTCTGGACTATTCAAAAGTCCATCATACAGAATATTGAAAAAATTACATAAAAATACTCAATTATTTTCAAGACTTGATATGGAAGGAAAACACACATTTTGATGCTTTAGATATATAAAATAGTTTCATATACAAATTTTTGTTCTCATACTTTTGTAAGGCATAAACAACTATCTCTACATTAAATGCAAATCCAATGAGGAGGTTCATGTTAAAGACACCATAGCACCTGATGCATTCAGTGTTATTTTTATGTTGACCAAACCACACACTAGAAAGTGAAGGGACGACGACGTTTCGGTCTGTCCTGGACCCTTCTCAAGTCAATTGTGATGAGGGAAGGAGGTGAAGACAATAAATAGGCAAGAGAGAAGTTAGGAGAAGGAAATCTTAGAGGAAGAAAAAGCAAGGCAAAAGGTATGAAAGGTAAGGTGTAATAAAGGGGGTAATAAAAGTAATAAGAAAGCGATCGTAAGAGAAAACAAGGGAAAGAAAAAGAAAGATAAATGGAAGGGTAAGCTTATGTTAGGTCACGTTTGTTTGTTTGTTTTTATGTTGTTTTATCACTGCCATGGAAAGTAGAACTGACATTTCCCCAAAGTTATCACTCTGCCTCAAACCTCAGCCATCGACACGTAAATATTCACAATAAAATTTGACAAAACAACAATTTAACGAACACTGAATTTTTGCTTGAAAATACTGTACGCACAAACTACTATTCCCAATCACACTAGTACAATACTAGTAGCAATACTAGTTTGGTATTACAAACTAAGTAATTATTTTGAATCTTGCATTTTTAATAAAATGCTTTAAAGTTAAAATATTTATAAATTGAAATTTTTATACTAAGTTTGACTAAACATTACGTTTTTGAAGATTAAAATAAAATACATTACCGAGTACAGAGGCATCTAGGGAAACTGAAAACCTGCAAGAAATTGTTAGCCAGACACCAGTGATCAGCATAATGCTAGGCTGCTTACAATATAATGCCACTTTGAGATGATGTCATACATCACCCAATCAATTATGGCTACATATGCCTTTACTCAAATGTAAAGATAATTATGTATATATGTACACATGCTTAATTCCTAAATTTATATACAAGGATTGGGATATCTCGCCGAGCTATTTACAGGCAGGATCAGTGATGATCTACAAACTGTGAAAGGCGAGGATGTAAGATCGTGCTGTATGGAAGGCCATGTCTACGGAGAGTGGCAGCAGCCAGGCACTGTAAAGAGGTATGGTGTAAGGGATTAATTAGTTGGTGAAGTCGCTGCCCACGAGAGAGACGTAAGGAAGCAAAGCTCTGCCCAGAAGTATTAAGAGTATCAAGATGGGCACCAGCGGCAAGAAGATCAATTAAAAGTTCTCGTCTACATTGTTTGTTGCTAGCTAGTGTATGAAGTGGAGTGTTGCCCTGCTGGTCTGTGGCACAAGGATCTGCCCCAACCTCCAATAACAGAGCAACAACCTCCAAACTTGGAAAGGTACAAATTGGAAACCTTCCAACTGTTGCTGAAGAGTCCTTTGAGCAAGCCAAATGTAATGGAGTTACTCCTCCTGACCCTCGTGGATCCAGACGAATTAACTGATACACTGCTTTTCTCATGGCATATCGCTGAAGAGGAGTTAAACCAGGTCCTAATTTAGTAAGCAAACACACAAGATGCATAGTTATTACAAGGGTACGGTGAAAATATGTAGTATCTCGCTCTCCACCATTAGCTAATATACCATTACAGCCATGTACAATTTTGGTAAGCTGATACATGCCCACTTCAACCTCACGCAGGCATTTTTCGAACACTCGCATCATATCACAGAAGTTCACTACCGGCACTCTCCTGCCACGATTCTTGGCTTCACTCATCATGAAAGAAAATAGTTCAGCAAATGAAACAAATGAGCTCTGTGTCATTGGACTCAAGGGCTCAAGAATCTTCTGCTGCATATCAAGAGCATACATCCAGAGTGTTATACACCGGTCAAAATTGCCAGTGTCAGCATACACAGCCCCTCGATAACGAATGTAATAGCTTGTGTCGGGATGTGCTGGTCCTAGAATTCTCTCCCTCACAAGTAATGCTTGCATTCTCATTTCATCTGGATCCGAAATAATTTCTTCTAGTTGGTGCAAAGTCATTACTTCTATTGAATTTTCATAAGCTGCAATAGGAGACTGTTGTATTGGCTTTGGGTATATCATTAAACCATTCTCATACCTGAAATGATAAGAATAATATATCAACTTATACAGTACTGGAAGTTTTCTGACAATATAACATTTACTCTCCCTACTCTATATCAAAATGGAACAAAACATATTCACCAGATCTCAAATCAAGTATTTAATGTAATGAAATGCTCTTTAAAAATTACTAATCAAATTAGAAGATATTAACCCAGATAATTTATCAAAGAAATTCAGTGTGATTCACAGAAGAGTCGGGTTTCAAACTCAAGCTTCAATGTAGAACAGACAACAGGATATACTTTTTTCACTCAGAATAATCAACCCAGTGAGCCATATACCTGTCAAAGCTGTTAAGTTCAAGATAATGCTACAGTTCAAAATACAGTATATTTAAAAAACTCAATAAAAATATTAAGACCTTTCACTAGCCATTGGCTTCGTGTCTGTTCTCCATGGCCAATAGCAACAATGGTCTTCAGGTAAATTAAACAATAATTATTAATCATTGCTTCACCAGCAAATTAAAAATTAAAAAGTATTGTATATGCTGTACAGTATATAAATGAAAGTGATTTCATCATTACAAAGTGATTTTTGTATCACTGAAAGTAATAGACAAAGTAGATCGAGACAGAATAAACGGCAAAGGTGGAAGCTGGAGGGAAATGCGTGTATGCAGATAGGGATAAACAAATGAAATGAACCTGAGTCAAAGGTAAAAGCAACCACCAATCACATTCTTAAGAATATGTAATGTACTATAGTACAGTATTAATTCTTACTGTATTTTATCACACATTTACATCCCAGAAATCAGTAACCATGATTGGACAGTTAATATCACCTTCACATTATCTTACTTGTATTTACAGTAATTAAGTACTGTATTTATTGCCTGCTTGTTCATTTCTGTATTCACATACAATACAGCAGATACTTACCTTTCAGACATGGCCATCTTCCAAAACCTGAGAGCTCCAAGCATATCCCGCTTCTTGTCAACATATGTAGCTCCAAGCAGTTCTAGAGCATCAATTTTATCTCTCCGTGATATTAGGTCTGTTCGTGAAATTAGATATTCTACAATGTGTGTGTGGCCAGTAACACTGGCAGCTAGCAACGGTGTCATTCCTGAAAACAAAAAATAATAATTCCATAATATCTACTGTCAAAATTTACATCACTTTATGCCTCATTCTCTTTCCATTCTTACTGTAAGTGAGCCTCATATCATGACCATACTAAGCAGAAGCATGAAAACTGCATTTAAACAGTTAGGGGTCACCACAGAATCCATTTTGTCACTAAAATTCATTCACAGATAGGAATTATGCCACTCACCACTATTTCATACAACTTGCAGTACTGACTACTCTAAGAAACCTGAGATGAAGTTAAATTGGATGAGTTCTAAGAGATCAGAGATCTCTAAGATAATTGGTACTTGGGGCAGGCAGCCAGTAACCCACGTTTAAAATTATCTTCATGTTAGCTGTCTTGTCTTTACATAGGGTGGGATTTTGTGCTTATGTTTTCTCCACAGCATGTTTTCCTGGCCAATGGTCTCTAGACTTTGAATCTGCTTATAACTCAAATTTCAGGGTTCTTTTCTTTGAGTTCATTGTCTTCTTCCAGTTAAGAGACCGATTTATTTTGAGCAAGTACTCTATAATTTGGTTGAGGAGTGAGGCTCGGGGACGAACAGATTATTATAATCCTGTTTTACAATACACACTGTGGACAGAAAGCACCATCTTATTTAGTGCAGGTGATGCTCGCAAAAGATGTGATAATTAGGGACTGTAATGTGAGTTTTTAATTTTTTTTTTGTTTTTGTTTTTTAAATTCATGGCTACCTTTTCATTTCCTCACTGATAGGAAGAAAAGTTCAGTGATGCAGCCTAATACATCTGTTATGGCTAGGCTGTCAGTAAAGGGATAATATCCTACACAATAGAACTAGTTTCCCAACACTATGTTAGAGAATTTTGTTTACCAAGTTCTCTGCTGGGCACATTTTTATGGATTTCTCTTCCAGTTTATAGAGCCTGCATCCCTCACTGTCTCACTAGGGTGATGGGGACTGTATTTACAACTGTGTAAATACAGTCGTCAGTAGTGGGCCCATAACTTTGCTGTGCCGGAGGCTCCTCTGTCTGACACCAACATTTTAGCACATGCTTCACTTCTTTTACTTAAGGTTACCTTGTATTTCTCACACAATATTCCTCCATAAATCTCTGCTTCCTCCTTATCCTCGTCTGACATATTCTGACCAATGTACACCTCATTGCATACCCTTCAGCCAAGCACTTTCCTCTTTACTGCAAATATCTACTTCATTGGTAATTTCATATGAACCCTAACTATCATGCAAATTATTCCATTTTCTAGGTTGTTCTACTAGCCTGCACCTTGTTGAAAATTTTGGTCCACTCTTTCTAGTCCACTCTCCTCTCTTTTGCCATGAGTTTTCTTTGGCTTAAGTAGATTAGAATTTATCAAAGATTTCTCCGTTTTTAGCTCCAGTCTAGTGCATTTCAGGAGTTTTTTTGTTCAGCCTCTCTCACTGCTGATTTTGTTATGAACTTTGAGTCTTGGGTCTTGGCAGCTTCTATGGAGGTTTTCCAGACCTCACAGAAAAACCATAGTTACAAAAATTAAAGCGAAAACTATAATGGTATACTGTACCTCTGAAGGACATAAAATAATATGCTACAATAAAAATTAATTTAATAAATTATTTCTCAACTTTTTATAAACTTACCATATGAATCAACATCCATCTTGGCTTTGTGATCAAGAAGCAGCTTCATAATATCCAGTGAACCTGACTCTGCACAATCATGTAATGCCGTATTGCCTTTAACACTTTTGCGATTTACATTTGCAGAAATTTCAATGAGATATTTGGCAATCTCAAAGTGGCCCTTGTAGCAAGCAATCATCAAGCACGTGTGGCCATGGCGGTTGGCTACCTCAATGTCTGAAATAAGAAATTACTGTCATGGATGTGCTAGTGATGATTCAAATGAAAATGTAAACTATTATAAAATATATAAACATTATTTATCTTCATACAGTAATTAAATTCACTGTAGCCCATCAGATAACATACAATAATATAGCATTAATATACTGTACATCCTTCTATGCAACTTCTCAGCACCATATCTTCCTAAGATGCAGGCCTTAGCAAAAGGCAAAGGCTTACAGATACAGTCACAAGGACAAATGGCAACAGCTGCTACCTGCTAGGGACACCTAACACATACCAGAGAAAGATGTGGCGGCCACACTCGAGGGTGAAGATTCTCACAACCCAATGAAAAAGGTGAGGGGAAGCAGAAATACCCACAACTTTTAAAAATTACCAAAAACATATTGGAATCCTGCAAGCAATAATAGTCTGGGTAATTATTTAAATTACTTGGATCATTTGGAGATTCGAAGTTAAAATCTCAAAAAGTACGAGACTGGTGTTCAACCAACCAAGTTGTGAACGCTCACGAAAAGGAAGGATCTCTGAAGCACCTAACTAGTACTAAAATTATAATTGTTACCTTCCCTGAAGCACTGCTTTAGGTGCCATTACCTTGACAACAACAGTGGGGCATGGTTTGGCCTGATTAATTACCATACCAAATCATGACAGTTTTTGCATGTGCAGTCAATAGTTTAATGACAGTTTAATGCACTTAGATGTCATTTATGAGCTTGATTTATCAAGCTAAGTGTAAGGTACACAAGTACCTCGACTGAAACAGGGTGGTCACTAAAAAAATGACAAATGTCTCAACTCAAGGAACCATCAGACCCATTCAACACTTGCTACTCTAGGCACTGTATACATACCAAGTCTCTGGGCACAATTTCCAAAGATTCAAACCAGGACAAACTCAATGGAAAATCTGGTCACTTGCTGATCAACACGAGACACTGAAGCATGAGGTCAGGGTCAGATAGCCTAGAGATGGGTAGGGTGCCTCCACCAGGGGGGCAGTCAGCATAGCCTAGGTGGTCAGGCAGGCAAACTGGTGGTTAATAGTCACAAGTGATGACTAGGTAAAGTTCAGAAGGGCTTTGAGCTTTTATTAACGGACCTTTGTCAGTCATTGTAGGGTGGAGTGAATGTTGTCCAGTGACAAGAAAGGTTGTGTGTAGCACCAGCGGGTCATCCTGCTTGACTGATGTGCTCCTGCAGTTTCTCACTGACAAATGATAGTAAATACAGAGACTGGATTCAATGTACAAACTACAAACTGTTGCACCAAAAGAGCCACATTTTGTACTATTAATTTTAAGGTGCGAAAAAGAAGTCAACTATCAAACCTAATTTTTCCTAGGCCTACTATATAATATAGTACATATATATGTACTAAATTAAGCCTAAAATAATGTATGTTAAGCCTAGGATTGCTTATTTAGGCCTAGGACAAGTTCTATTAGGGTTATGTCAGTTTTTATTATGCCTTCTAGAATTCCATTAGTACAAAACATGGACTTTTTTTGGTAAAAGTCTATATTTTATACACTCTATCTATATCAGCTACAGGTACCATCAGTTTAGTGTACGGCTCGTGATGTGCACTATACACACACAGTCTTACCTTCCAGACCAGCAAAGCCTCCTACCTCTCACGTTAATTAAAAATAAAAAAAACATTAAAAATGTGTTAGGTAATAAAATATAAATGAACACAATACAGTATACATAATTTAGTACATAAATCCACCCACCTGAATTATGTTCTACTAAATATTTGACAATGTCAAAGTGTCCATCGAAGCAAGCTGCTCTGAGGGGGGTGGAGTTGGTCTTGGTGGTGGCGTTGACGTTGGCGCCCTTCTCCAGGAGGTAGGAGACCACGTCCAGGTGACCAGCGGCCGCGGCGCACCACAGCGGGGGAGCCCCGTCTATGGTCTCGCCGTCAAACACAACTACAATGTTCAATTTATGTTTAATGATTTGGCTACGTCTTTTTTACAGTTATTATTAACCAGCTTAGGTATACAGCAGCAATGTGCTGCTACCCTATTCTATATGAAAGTTTACAGTGATCAAAAGCTAGATATAAGTTCATCTAATATCCCCCATCTCACAGGATACATGGAATCAGGAGACATCATGAAATGCTAGGCTGATCTATTAGCCTACACTAGCACACTCTGGGTACACCACAAGAATATCTTCCAAAATTCCTGAGTGTATGAAGTACTTATAGAGCTGTATACTGTAGTGGTATACAGCTCATATACTACATATACTGTAGTGCTAAATTGTATTTTGTATAATTATAATTTATTCTAAGGTTTATAATGTAAATAACTCTACCCATATGTGAACTAGTGTGAGCGAAGGTTGGCTTCGTCCTCGACCATTAACAAGGGGTGAGAGTGGGTAGATTTGAGATTTGTTAGGGGAAAGCTATATGGAGATTGATGTGTACTGACCTGACCCAACTTGTTCGAGGTCAGCGTTGCAGCGCTCCACAAGGTACTCGACGCAGGAGAGATGGCCGTTCTTGGAAGCCATCACGAGCGGTGTGGCACCGTTCGTGCGCGCGCATACCATGCGGGCCATCTCCGTGCGGCTACGGTGGTCTAGGAGCATCTGGAATACCAACCACCCTTCTTAGCAACACAACTAAATCACACATTTAAAAACAAAATTACAAGTCCCCATCTTATGCTAAGAGCATTATCATTTTAACCGAGACAACGTCCGCCCTGCTACACCGTGGGCCATGTTGCGTCAATATGGCCTCAACTATATGTTAACAGATCTCTAAACCATGTCCTCCATGTTTGTCCATGGAGGACAAACGAAAATGTATGTATGCTGGTTAGCATTGCAAATGTGTAGCCACGTCTGTGGTAGGGAAAATAAAGTGCCTACCATTGCTTTCCTAATAACATAGTGCCGAAGGTAAGGAGAAATGTCAGGGGTATATTGTTCACATGAATACAAACTAAAGAAAATAATGTACAATATAAAGTGTAATGAAGAAATAAAGCGACACAGGAGAGAACTGAATAAAGAAAATGATAAAATCAATTTTCCACGAGGCTAGGCAGCACCGTTGGTAATGTTTCTGCCACGACCATCACTTGTCCTCTGTTGTAGGATGGTCCTCCTACAGGAGGCGTCATCCTAACGTCTCTACTTCAGGAGTAACTAAGCCTAACGCACAGTTAGTTTAGTTCATTATTATGTACCCCATACCCATCTTGTGGGCGTAGTGGAAAGGGTTACAGACACACATAATGGGCTCAGGGACTGAACCCCACAATTCATTGAGTTACATGCAAGTTACAATCTTGATGAGCTAGTTACAAAATTCAGTACAAGTCGTCACATCATCAACGGGTTCAAGACTGACCAAAAGTACAGTTTCTAAATTAAGCAACACACATATGTGGAGAGCCTAGTGTCACAATTGATACACAGGATGTATGTATAAATGTTTCCTTGTTGTAACCAGAATAATCTTGGACCAGGATCCGTTAAGTATTTACAGAACCACAATAACCTTGTGCATCTTTCCTCAATCACGGCAGCTTTGTTTATATTTACTAGTTAATGAACTTGGAAACTTCACAATCCAAAGTTATTAAATTAATAAACAGTCTTGCAGTGATTCATGGCTCATAAATTGCTAATCAATTTTAACAAAGGCTCCATGATTCAGAAAGATGTACAACTTTCCTTAGTGAATGCGTAAGGGCTTGACGAATCCTGGCCGTTATTGTAGCCTTATATCTGGTGAGAAATGAGCCTGGTTTCTTGCAGGTGTGGGCGGGGTGTGGGGTCCCTGGGCGGGGTGTGGGGTCCCTGGGCGGCGTGTGGGGTCCCTGGGCGGCGTGTGGGGTCCCTGGGCGGCGTGTGGGGTCCCTGGGCGGCGTGTGGGGTCCCTGGGCGGCGTGTGGGGTCCCTGGGCGGCGTGTGGGGTCCCTGGGCGGCGTGTGGGGTCCCTGGGCGGCGTGTGGGGTCCCTGGGCGGCGTGTGGGGTCCCTGGGCGGCGTGTGGGGTCCCTGGGCGGCGTGTGGGGTCCCTGGGCGGCGTGTGGGGTCCCTGGGCGGCGTGTGGGGTCCCTGGGCGGCGTGTGGGGTCCCTGGGCGGCGTGTGGGGTCCCTGGGCGGCGTGTGGGGTCCCTGGGCGGCGTGTGGGGTCCCTGGGCGGCGTGTGGGGTCCCTGGGCGGCGTGTGGGGTCCCTGGGCGGCGTGTGGGGTCCCTGGGCGGCGTGTGGGGTCCCTGGGCGGCGTGTGGGGTCCCTGGGCGGCGTGTGGGGTCCCTGTGGGGTCCCTGGGCGGCGTGTGGGGTCCCTGGGCGGCGTGTGGGGTCCCTGGGCGGCGTGTGGGGTCCCTGGAGGGCAATACCACCAGCTGGGACGCCATATAATTATCATCACACCAGCACCAAGTTACTGTCGCCGTCACCAGCTGGGGACACAGCCAGAAATGCTGCACACAACCTTTGACACCGAAGAGTGAAGGCCAAGAAAGAGGGTTCACATTTAGACGTATTACCACTATCATTTGTTCTTAGTTTCAATTACCGCTCCTCTTCCTCCTCCTCCTGCAACAACCACCACCACCACACCCCCTCCTCTAAAATCAACAATAACTCCAACAACAACAACAACAACCTTCAACAACAACAACCACCACCACCAACAACAACCACCACCACCACCACCAACAACAACCACCACCACCACCAACAACAACAATTCCCCTCTCTGCAGCTATCAGCTCCATCCGCTTTAAAACCCACACACTTTTAAACATCTGCTTTGTGTGAAAATAATATAACTTAGACTGAATATTTTCCTCGACTTCTGCTTGATCTTGATTACTTCATTTTTTGTGTCATCTCCATGATATTTACGTATTCCACGACATTTCCAGAGGTTGTTTAGAGCGTAGTGACGCTAACAGCGGCCCTCTCACCATGGTCGGCTGGTGCTCCAGCCCTCTCACCATGGTCGCCTGGTGCTCCAGCCCTCTCACCATGGTCGCCTGGTGCTCCAGCCCTCTCACCATGGTCGCCTGGTGCTCCAGCCCTCTCACCATGGTCGCCTGGTGCTCCAGCCCTCTCACCATGGTCGCCTGGTGCTCCAGCCCTCTCACCATGGTCGCCTGGTGCTCCAGCCCTCTCACCATGGTCGCCTGGTGCTCCAGCCCTCTCACCATGGTCGCCTGGTGCTCCAGCCCTCTCACCATGGTCGCCTGGTGCTCCAGCCCTCTCACCATGGTCGCCTGGTGCTCCACCTCTCACCATGGTCGGCTGGTGCTTCAAGGGAACACCACGAGAGAACCATCAACAACATAGTGGTACTAACACTACATTTAGTGACGTCCAACTACTGTGTAAGAGCCAGTCACTGATAACAGTGCTTATCCTTCTCTATTCCTGACCGCGCCTTGCAATTAACCTAGACATACCTGGATGTTAACTAATGGGTACCTGGTTGTTAAACGATTTGGCGGGTCGTATTCCGGGGAAAATTAAGATTAGGGACCTGTCCTAAACGCTATGCGTGCTAGTGGCTTTACAAGAATGTAAGAACTCTTGTATATATAAAAGAGTGTGGTTCTATAGTCATTATATCGAGTTATAAGCCAGGAGCAGCGGCCGCGATGCCAACTATACCTGAGTAATGAGGCCAAGATCAACAAATATACTTAATGACCTCCAGCATTATGGGTGAAGGAGCTTTATAATAATAGCGCCAGTGATGAGAGTTACTCCGACCGCTCGTTCCTCGACCAGCCGGGCTGTGGTGGATATGTGGGCCTACGGGCAGCTCCAAGCAACAGCCTGGTGGACCAAGTTGTCATAAGTCAAGCCTGGCCCCGGGCTGTGCTCTGAGAATAGAGGAACTCCAGAAACCCTCTCCAGGTATGCCCCTCACGTCCCCAACCCCTCGCTCACCACCAATTTATATATATATTACTAAGAAGCGAGGAGCGTTTTAGTAATTTATATGGCTGAAACGCTCCTGCAAACGTTTCAGTAAACACTACAAACTGACCATGAAGTCTGACCTCTATAGCTCACATTAATCTATAATTATTTGTTTATTACGCCACTTAAATCATAAAGAAATCTTAATTCAACACAAGTTACGATTAAATGTCGGAATTTATATTTACACAGTGAAGTAGTTGATGTTAAGTGGTCTTGAGCTTGGGAGAGGGAGGGGGTGGGGGAGGGTAGTGGTAGTGTGTGCCAGGGGACCTGAGGGTAGTGGTAGTGTGAGCCAGGGGACCTGAGGGTAGTGGTAGTGTGAGCCAGGGGACCTGAGGGTAGTGGTAGTGTGAGCCAGGGGACCTGAGGGTAGTTGTAGTGTGTGCCAGGGGACCTGAGGGTAGTGGTAGTGTGTGCCAGGGGACCTGAGGGTAGTGGTAGTGTGTGCCAGGGGACCTGAGGGTAGTGGTAGTGTGTGCCAGGGGACCTGAGGGTAGTGGTAGTGTGTGCCAGGGGACCTGAGGGTAGTGGTAGTGTGTGCCAGGGGACCTGAGGGTAGTGGTAGTGTGTGCCAGGGGACCTGAGGGTAGTGGTAGTGTGTGCCAGGGGACCTGAGGGTAGTGGTAGTGTGAGCCAGGGGACCTGAGGGTAGTGGTAGTGTGTGCCAGGGGACCTGAGGGTAGTGGTAGTGTGTGCCAGGGGACCTGAGGGTAGTGGTAGTGTGTGCCAGGGGACCTGAGGGTAGTGGTAGTGTGTGCCAGGGGACCTGAGGGTAGTGGTAGTGTGTGCCAGGGGACCTGAGGGTAGTGGTAGTGTGTGCCAGGGGACCTGAGGGTAGTGGTAGTGTGTGCCAGGGGACCTGAGGGTAGTGGTAGTGTGTGCCAGGGGACCTGAGGGTAGTGGTAGTGTGTGCCAGGGGACCTGAGGGTAGTGGTAGTGTGAGCCAGGGGACCTGAGGGTAGTGGTAGTGTGAGCCAGGGGACCTGAGGGTAGTGGTAGTGTGAGCCAGGGGACCTGAGGGTAGTGGTAGTGTGAGCCAGGGGACCTGAGGGTAGTGGTAGTGTGAGCCAGGGGACCTGAGGGTAGTGGTAGTGTGAGCCAGGGGACCTGAGGGTAGTGGTAGTGTGAGCCAGGGGACCTGAGGGTAGTGGTAGTGTGAGCCAGGGGACCTGAGGGTAGTGGTAGTGTGAGCCAGGGGACCTGAGGGTAGTGGTAGTGTGAGCCAGGGGACCTGAGGGTAGTGGTAGTGTGTGCCAGGGGACCTGAGGGTAGTGGTAGTGTGAGCCAGGGGACCTGAGGGTAGTGGTAGTGTGAGCCAGGGGACCTGCCAACAAAGTCACAAAGACCTGAAAGTTGCAGCATTAAATATTATGATAAGATATCGTGAGCAGACATTCACACATGGGACTAATAGAGCGAGAACTCGGCAATGTGATGTTATAGTGGCCAGAATACGCCTGGGATATAGACGTATCTGGCAGCTGTCTCAAACCCAGAATGTCGAGTACACAATGTGTCAATTCTGTGAGAGAGAGAAAACATGCACTCACTTGAACATTATATTGTAGAATGTCCCATATTGACTGACTGTCGCCCTCCTGGGCTGAGGTATGCTGAACTGTGTAACTACTATATGAATA